GCATAGACTTTTAAAAATAATTTATATTTCTCTGTTGAGAGCCTGTTAATTCATTGTCATTACACTTTTCTTTAATTCTTTTTTTTTAAAGATTTTATTTATTTATCTTTAGAGGGGAAGGGGAGGAGAGAAGGAAAGAAACATCAATGTGTGGTTGCCTCTTGTGAGTCCCCTGCTGGGAACTGGCATGTGCCCTGACTGGGAATCGAACCGCGATCGTGTGGTTTGCAGGCCTGTGCTCAATCCACTGAGCTACACCAGCCAGGGCTAATTCTTTTATTTTAAAGATTGTATTTATTTACTTTTAGACAGAGGGTAATGGAGGGAGAAAGAGAGGAGAGAAACAATGTGCGGTTGCCTCTCACGTGCCCCCTACTGGGGAACTGGCCTGCAACCCAGGCACATGCCCTGACCCGGAACTGAACCATCGACCCTGTGGTTCACAGGCCGGCATTCAATCCACTGAACTACACCAGCCAGGGCACTTTTCTTTAATTCTTTAAACATGTTTATAAGAGTTATTTTGAAGTGTCTTTTTTTTCCTCTAAATTCAGCATCTGGGGCCACTCAAACTTATTTTTTATTGGCTAACTTTAGGGTTTTTCCATGGACTTGAAGTGGTTGCTATTGACCATGTCCCCCAATTTTGCTGTTTTGCAGAGAGGAATGATTGCCTCTTTATGCTGCCACCACTGGAAGTCCCTCTTCTCACTCTTTATTAATGAAGAAAATGAGGCTCAAAGAGATGAAGCAACTTGCCCTAGTTCATGCAGCCAAGAAGTGTGAGAATCAGAATTAAATTCATAGGCTCTATATTTTTTAAAAAGGTTTATTGAAAAATAATTGACATACAATAGATTATGCTTATTTAAATCAAACAATTTGATAAGTTTCAACATATACTTTTGCCTGTGAAACAATCTCCTCCATCAAAATAAAGCTCTCCGTCACTCTGTCTCCCTGGGTAGTCCCTCCTCCCCTTCCCTCACCCCTAGGCAACTCCTGATCTGATCTCTGTCACTATAGTTTGCATTTCCTAGAATTTTGTATAAATTAAATCATTCCATATGTACTCTTTTTTTTGCTTCTTTTCACTCAGTGTAATTGAAATTCATCTAACACTGTAGTATATATCAGTAGTTTAAATAGTATTCCATTGTATAGATAAGCAAAAATTTGAGTATCTAATTATCAGTTGGTGGAAATTTGTGTTGTCTCTGTGAACATTTGTAGACATATCTTTGTGTGGATATGTGCTCTCATTTCTCTTGGGCTATACCTCAGAATGGGATAGCTAGAGCACATGGAAAGTGTATGTTTAACATTTTGTATAAATTCTTAATTTAAAGATAGTGTTACAGAAGCAGCCAATAGTGTGCCAGAACAGCAGTAGGGTTTGATTACTTGCCTCCAAGGGGCATAACTCCAGAGACAATAGTTTGGTGAAAAGGAATGGGTTGTTTATTTAAAGGTTATACAGTTTTAGAGTAATGGAAGATTTCTGCTGTTAAGTTCTGCTCCCTTTAAAATGCCCAAAACAAATGGTCCTGCCACCCTCTGCCAAGCCAGACCCATTTCAGAACATGCTACTTAAAAGTACCATCCTTCAGAAACATAGAAGTCTGTCACTCAGCATTGCCAGTCATAGTTCTGCTCTAAGCATCTCTCACGAGTCCTTGTGCACCTACCTGAGTCCTTTTTCACAGAGTCAGTTTCTCTACTCTGGAGCTGCTTTTTCTCCAGCCGTCAACTCACCAGTGTGCCTGTGTGCTTGGCCAGGCACGTTCCTCATAGCACTGCCAGCTCTGCTGTCTTCTGTGTGGGAGGGGGGCTGAGGATGTTTGCAAACCACATGGTCTTTGGGGGCCCGCCAAGTCTCAGGACTTCAGGTTCACTGTTGCCTAGTGGGCTAGCCAGGGGAAGGGCAAGCCTACGGATCTGTGTTTCCTGCCATGCTGCATTTTAAAGGCTCTGCTTAGAAATTCCTGTGCGACTGAACATCAGGCTCTTCCTATGTTGCGGGGAAATGAAGCGACCAGACACCGAGGGATTCTGGAGTACGAGGTTTATTCCTTTACGTGCACGGGCCCAGAGTAGTCAGTCTCCAAATTCTGAGCCCCGAACAAAGGATTCTTGGGGAATATATAGATTAGGGGTCTTCCTGTGTACGTGACAAACGTGGGGTACAGAAACAGAATGTGATAATCATTCTATTAGTGGGGGTGCTAGTTCCAGTCCTACTGACTATCCACTCTCCAGACAGCCCCATCGCTCTCCTATTGCGCCCGGGGTCCTAGGGGAGCCAAAGTCTCCTGAGGCTTCTCCTTCACCTACAGTGTGTCAGCGTCTACTATTGTCAGATCCCTATTGTCTTTGGCCCTCTTTTGAGTGCTATTTTTAGTAAGGCAAAAGTTTTCCAGCTGCACACAGTGCACAAGCATCTGTTTGTCCAGGGTGGGGCATCAGGCCCCTGCAGCTCACACAGGCACTGTATGAGCTTCTCCTCCTCGCACCCCATGGTATGTCATGAGTGATCCTACTGCAGGCACATGCAGTCTCATTGCATTTGGTTACAGTTCGCTCCTGGCAGGGGGCTCCCTTGCACAGCCCCACCCTTGGGAAGGCACAAGCTGCCCAGTTGCTATTTTAATCTGCCCCACTGGGGTCCCTTGCTTTTTCAGTGACCTCTTGTCCAAACTACCCTGTTACAATAGCACAGAGTTTTCTCACATTCCTGCCACTCATTTTCTCTTATTGTTAGCATCTTATCTTACTACCATACATTTGTCAAAGTGGAGAAACTGACATTGGTACGTTACTATTAATTAAACTGCAGACTTTATTTAGGTTTCTCCAATTTTTCCACTAATGTCATCTTTCAGTCCCAGGACTCAGTTAGACCAGGGTACTACATGAATTTAGTTGTCATATATCCCTAGTCTCCTCTGGTCTGTGGCAGTTTCTAAGTTGTTCCTGTTTGTTTTAAAAGATTTCATTTTGTTTTTAGAGAGGGGGAAGGGAAGGAGAAAGAGCGGGAGAGAAACATCACATGAGAGAAACAATTGGTTGCCTCTCAAACGCCCCCAAGCAGGGACTAGGCCTGCAACCTGGGCATGTGACGTGAATGGGAATTGAACCACAGGGACCTCTTGGTTTGGGGATGATGTCCAATCCACTGAGCCACACCAGCTGACTCTATGTTGCTCTGTTTATTCATGACCTTGGCAGTATAGAGAAATACTGGCCAGTTATCCTGCGGAATGTAATAGCATGTTCTCCAATCTGGATTTCTGATGTTTTTTTCTCCTTACTGAACTGGTTACAGCCACTGGGAAAAAATGCTGCAAGGGTGAAGTGCCCTTCTCATCACATTATATCAGGGGTACATGATATCCACGTGACATCTCTGGTGATGTTAGCTATCACTTGGTTGAGGTGGTGTTTACCAGTTTTCTCCATGTAAAGTTTATTTTCCTGCTTTCCATAGTATTCACTAAGTCTTGACTATCCTCAAAGGGGCAGGGAGATTCAGTTCAACCTCTTGTGTGGAGCAGGCATATCTACATATATTATTCAGAATTCTGCAAGGAATACTTGTGAATTTCTCATTTCTTTAGTCATTTATTTACATCAGCATAGATTTGTACATATTTGTTTTATACTTGGGTTATAATTCAATACTGAGTTATTCATTTTGTTCCTCAAATTGTTCCGGATTTGGCCTTTGGGGGTTCTTTCAGGTTGCTTCCTATGTCCTTTGGACATGCTGCTATGCCTTTGCTTTTTTAACATTTTCTTAATTTCTGGAAATGCAAGATACCTCAAGTTCACCTTATGTTTCCCCTGCCCAATCCTAGAATCAGTCATTTCTCTAAGGAGCTCTGGTTCCTTTTATTGGAGAGTGGTATTTTGAAACCAGGATCTGGGAGCTAGGTGCAGGCATTGCTGGCTGTGGTGACATTATCTATATTAATGTATGTATTAAGCTAAACATGCGTTCACATGTATCTCTCACAAGGATTACTCTAGCTTTCCCTGCAACACAGAACCTGGGCTCTGGCTACCCACCAGGGACTCACTAATCCAGCCAACTTCAATACATGTGTTCAGCTGTTCCAGAATTGCTAACCACCCCCCTTGGGGAACAGTGCTCATGTGTACTTCCTTTTGTGTTTAGTTATACAGTTACCAGTAGAAACAAGTTTTCCAAGGTTACTTAGGTCAGCTTCGTCCATCCAAGGGTCGGCTTTTGTAACAGATGAAAATCATGAAAACAATTGCAGAGGATATATCATTTCCAGTTGATGACCAGAGTCTTGATGACCCGATGATGGAGCTACGGGAATTACTGACTAGGATTCAGCAAAGAGGAAGCAGGAAAAAAAGTCTTACCCTTTCTTCTACCTTTTTCTGTTAAAGGTAACAGCGTACCCCTCCCAAACGATACAGTGAGCCCAGCGCTTGCTAATACAGGACCATGGCCTTATCCTACACTCTGTTTATGCTTAAAGCAGAACAGGCATCTTCAAATAGCAAAATTATATTGGGAGGAAACACCTATCCCTGGACTTGGTACCTGCCCTATCCCACCACGCCTCCAGCACCTTCACATTCTTCAGCCATTTAACACTGTTTCCAGACCCTATTCCCAGTGCCTCCCCCCATAGCGAACAGGAGGTAGATGTCAGCACTCCTCTGTCGCTCCAGAAGGGAGGAAGGGCTGGGCTGTCGCAGGCTTTCTGGGCTGCGAGTAGTGGTGGGGTTGCTAGGCGCCGTGGGCAGTTTCCGGCTTTGATGGTCTGTGCGGGGCGTGTGTGCGAGAACCCAGCACAGCTGGGTGGGCCGTGCAGGCTACTGTCCCTAGCTAGCAGGATGCGCTTGCGCATTGGGGCGGTGGAAGAAGGGCGGTGGGTGGGTGGGGAAACACGCAAGCGCAGTGGGGTGGGGGGGGCAGCGGAAGCACGTGAACGGAAGGGGGACGCAGGCGCAGTGGGGCTGCGGGCGCGTAGGTCGTTGAGAGTGGGGGACCTGTGATCGTTTGGCGCTCCCTGGCGGAATGGGGCGGTTACGCTGGCCGGCGGTGGCGGTGGTGGCCGTGGGCCTCGTGCTGGCCCTGGAAGCGCTGCCCTCAGCCCTGCGTTGGTGGTGGGCCGGGCGGCGGCGGCGGAGGCCACGGCATGAAGTTCTCTTCTTCCCATCGCAAGTAACCTGCACCGAGGCCCTGCTGCGGGTGGCGGGCCCGGGGCCGTCGGCGCCCCTCGCTGGCTGCGGGTGCGGCCTGCCCCATGGCGAGAGCTCCCTTAGCCGCCTGCTGCGCGCCCTGCTGGCCGCCCGCGTGAGCCTGGAGCTTTGCCTCTTTGCTTTTTCCAGCCCGCAGTTGGGCCGGGCGGTGCAGCTGCTGCACCAGCGCGGAGTGCGCGTCCGTGTTGTCACCGACTGCGACTACATGGCACTCAAAGGCTCGCAGATCGGCCTGCTTCGCAAGGCAGGTAGGCCGGATGCCCAGGCTGGGGGCGCAGGCCGGGAGGAAGACCAGATATCCAGGACCGTAGGCAGAAGGGAGAATGTCGGAAGCAGATATTTGGGGACAGGGGTCTGAGTACAGGTGAGATCCCATTTATTTCCCATGGGGGCTTAGTGAGTTCAGGCAGTTTTATCCCGGAGAAACTCCAGGGCCATCCATAAAGGACTCCTGTCTCCACGCGGTGGGAGCACTTTTGTGCAGGAGGTTGTCATGCCAGATACATGAGTGTAAGCCGGTTGCATGTTCCCAGCCAGTGGAGGAAGGTCTGGGGACTCCCAGAGGCCAGAGGGTGTGCCCACGCACACCCAGAAGTGGACAGAGTCTCTGGGAGTCCACACATTCCCACGACCTTCGTTGGCCTTGGGACCCAATAGGGAATGCCCGTGTCTGGGCAGAGCTGGAGTTGTAGCCCAAAGTGAGGATGGCTTAGCCTGACTGTATTTAGGAGATGAGGGCGAGGCTAAGGGTGAAGCCACGAGTCCCCCTCACCAGCAGATTGTGCTTGCTCATCGGAGCTGGTGCATAAAGACTGCAATGGTCAGGCTTCAGGGTTGAAGGGCTAAAGGAAAAAAAGGCATTTCACCTTAAGTACACTAGTGAATTTCATGCTCAGGGCTTCTGAAATGAATAAAAATAATATTCTAAAAAGTGTAACTAAAATATTCAGTTGATGAACGGTTTGTTTCTGCAGCTGCAAAACACTTGAGAACTATTTCTGGCCAACTGGCCTCTCTTACTGGGGTGGGGGACAGATCAGATCCTGGTCTTACCTGTGAATCCCTTGTCTCACCCTTCTACCTCTGTGTAATGCAGCGTCCTGCAAGCAAGCTCTGGTCCTTGTGTTTTGTATGTTGGCTGCATGTCTCTTGACCTGCATGACATCTTTTCCACCCTTCAATTTTGGTAGCCCAGTGACAGAAAGGCGTGAAGAGCCCTTGAGAACTCTGAAGACTGCCCTCTGGTCCCACGGTGCTCTGAGTCACACAAGCATGGGCATGACCTCCTGTGACCCAGGAGGTAGAGAAGCCTTTCCCGAGTCAGGCTTAGCTTGCCCGCTCTGCCTGGGGCTCTCCAGAGGCGGAAGCACCTTCATCCTCTGGTGCTGGTGGCATCCTGTGTAGGCAGAGTGGAAACTGAGTTCACACAGTGAGGATATTCACTTCCACTCCTCTTGGCAGTCATGAGTTATCCTAAATCTGCTGAGCCTTTTAATGGGAAAGTTAGGCATGGCCTGTTTTATTTAGGTAGTTTTTAGAGTATTGCAAAATGTCAGGTTTGGAAAGAGCCTTAAAGGGCACTGCAAGTAGCTTCCTCTAAAGGCTGATTCCTCTCTGAAGGCGCTCCAGCCATTGTTCCTCCTCCATCTCTTCAACAAGTACATCTGCATGCCAGTGTTTGCCTGGCTTGGTTCCAGGTGCCAGAGTCATGATGGTGAACAGGACCAGGACCCAGTGGGGAATCCTACTGAAGCATGAGTACTTAACAGTAGGAAGAGGGGCCAGGACATGTGAGAAAACAGGGTGTGGAGGAATGATGTGCCAGCGGAGCTCAGCGGTGTTGGAGGCGTCTGAGGGAGCCTCCCAGCTTGAAGAACAGCAAGTACAACTGCTGATTTCATAGTGAGATATCCCCTGCAGCCAAAAGTTGAAATAGTAATGAGGAGAGGCTGGCTTCGGGGACCCTGAATTCTCTCTGGCTTCCTCTCACTGAGGCCTGCTTTCTTTTGTGCTCAGGCCCTCTCCTTACAGGGTCTGGTGCAGCTCCCAGCCTGGGGGTGTTTACTAGGGCATCCAGTCCTGGGCAAAAGTGAGAGGCAAGGAAACCCCAGCCAATGATGTTTGCTCTGATGGCCTCCAGCCAGATGAATAACAGTGATGCTGGTGGGTATGGCCTTCAAAAGTGTGGGGTGGGCTGTTCCCAGAGGAAACTGAGTAATGTTAAGAGAGCAGTGTCTGCATGCCTGCCAGTCCTTGCTGCCCTCAGGACGGTCTCTGGCCTCTCCTGTGCCAGAATGCCCCTTAGCGTCCCCTCCTGTGAGCTGGTTGTGGCTGGTCACTGTCTGGCTCATCCACTACCACCTGCCCAAGTGACAAGCTTCGCCCCTTTCTCACCAATTTGGAGAAAAATAGCAAAGTTAGTAGCTACTATCAAATGTGTCCCCCCCCCCCCCGCCCCCAGGAGGAGCTGAGCCCTGTGAGGGAGGGGCTGTGGAGGCAGTGGTGAGAGCCAACTTGCCCTTTTGCAGGTATTCAGGTGCGACACGATCAGGACCTGGGCTACATGCACCACAAGTTTGCAATCGTGGACAAGAAGGTGCTGATCACCGGCTCCCTCAACTGGACCACACAAGCCATTCAGAACAATAGAGAAAATGTTTTGATTATGGAGGATGAAGACTATGTGAGGCTTTTTCTGGAAGAATTTGAGCATATTTGGGAAGAGTTTAACCCTACGAAGTATACTTTTTTCCCACAAAAGAAGAGAAGTCAGTGAAGCTGTGCTGTCACCTCTGTCTTGAGTTGGAGGGGGGAGAGGTGTTTAATGTCACAGAACTTTTGTTACCACCAGTTAAAACCAGAGCGGACCTACAAGGAACAGGACCCTACTGGCTGGTGTCTGCCCAGAGCTGCTGTGAGCTACATCAGCAGATTCTACATTCTGTTCGAGAGAGACCTCAACACTGTATAAAAGATCGTCAGACTAAATCCTCCTTCATTAAGATACTGAAGTGAACTAAAGAGGGTTTAGTGTTAAAAAGGAAAAGGAAATTTCTTCAGCATCAGGTCAGTTGTTCTGAACTTTGGTTTTTCCTTCCACTCAAAGTAAATGCAGCCACAGCTGCTTGTATGCTTGCAGGTACCTTGCCTGGTGCCTGGGTTGAGAACAGAAGGCTTTCTCTCGTGCAGCCACACAAAAAAGGGATGAGGCCTGTTTCAGGGTCGAACACCTTTCCTGATTCTAGAGAATCTCCCCCTTCTCGGGCCCACTCCATTGGCTCAGCCCTTCGGGTATGTCCAGAATCTCCCCACTTCTCCAACTGAACTGGTCTGGTCCCCACACAGCACAGCTGAACCCTGGGATTGGCTCAAGGTGGCTGACTCAGTCTTTTCATCCCTGCTGTTCACCAGTTCCATGGGGGCTTATTGGCAGGCCCGAGTCAGAAGAGGGAAAGGAGAATTTAGGAAGGAAAACAGGCGACAGAGGAGAAAGCAAGGCTGGGCTGGTGGGAGTGGGAAGCTTCCTTCCAGGCCCCTTGTGGCAGTTGCCACTGCAGCAGGCACGCCGTTCTCTCACCCAGGCTTCTGGGCGTGATTGTGCTTTAAAACAAGCACATGAGACATCGTTCATGCTTGGTAGCTTCTGTTCTCTTTTCATGTGGCTTGGTACATCATCTGTCAGGAAGGTCAGAACCTGCTTTTCTATATGTTATACTTTTACTTTTTAATATTCTCACATTCAATATTTACAATTTAAATCTCACAATTTAATATTCTCACATTTAATAGTTTTGTTGTGTGTTTAGAAGTGGCCCTCACTTTAATTACTGTGGACTTTGCTAAATCGCATCTTTTGGTCAGTGTAATCAACCATGAATTACCCAAAGAGGAGAAACCGGTTTCCTGTTGTACCTTACACATCCACTTTTATTATCAGCCCAGCATTTTACATCTGTAGGTAATTAGAAGAGCAGGTACCTTACATGCATTTGTGAAATACTCCAAATTTTTTGCAGAACGTGTATCTTTAGGTAGCTCAGGTAACATGTGAACAGTTGTTCACCGTCTTGTCATGTTTCTGTGTACACACTGTGCAGCCTGTCCTGAGGTCTGTCCAGTGCTGTGTGGGTCTCCTTCCCGCCACCAGCACACAGCCACCGGGAGAGGCTGTTCAGTGTTGCATGTTTTTCCTTTTTAAAAGTTACCTTTGACTTACAGAGTTGGGCAAGTAAACTCAAAGTTAATTTTTCTTATTTCTTATGATCAGAAATCATAAGAAATGGTTTTACATTAAACATGTTTCTTTTTTTTTTTTTTTTTTTGTTCATTTTAATCTGAGTCTACTCCAGCAAAGTGTATTCTGAAAAAGGGAGACGCTGTAGACCATCTCGTGAGTGATGAACCCTGTGGTTCTGGACTTCCCACACATCTGAATAAATGTTTTTATTCTGGAATGGCAGTACTGTGTGTCCTTGCCTTTTATTCGGTCATTCAAACCGTGGCTGCTCTTTATTAAACTAGTAAAACTTTTGGGGGGAGGAGGCAACATATAGCTACTTAGAAACTGTTGGTGAACATAGGAGTCTCTCAGAAGAGAGTAAACCCTGAGGGTGTTCCTTGGGGATGTCCTGAAGTGTTTGCAAACATACACACTGCTTCTGGTAGAGTTTCCAGCCTCTGCATGACTTGTGAAGGTGGGCACATGTGCAGCCTGCTCCCGCCGATGCCGGGTGTTCTTCCAGAAGCAGGCTGGTGTTCCAGTGCAGAGCACAGCATCAAATGCATATGAGGTGATCTAGCCAAGCTATCTAGACTGCTGTTTTAAGAACCGTGAAATGATGTCATCTCATAGTTTTTAACTTTATATTGTTTATCTTGTTTTCATCGTCTCTGCAGTGATGGGGAGAGTTCTAGATGAATAGTAAATCTTTCTGAAAAGGACTTGCAGTGGAAGAAAACCTCCTTGGAAGGCACAGGGGCTGTGGAAGGACAGGACTGGAATCCACCGTGGAACTAGATGCTGTTTCGTGTCCACTTAGACAAGGTGTTTGCACAACATGGCTGGAGTCCCTGACTGTGGGCTGGCCACACCCTGCTCTGACGGGAAGTGTGATGAGGGGTAGCCGGGCTGGGACCAGAAGCTGACTCTGGCATGTCTGGTCTGTCCAGTGAGCTGGCAGAGTTCACATCAGGTTTCAGGGGCCGTAAAAGCAAATGAACTTAGATAGTTGATCATTAGTTGGTTCGGGAGATACTTGGGGCCCAGCAAGTGGCTTTGCACTGAGCAGCAGTTATTTAGGGGCTAGGCCAGCCCTGGGCAGTCACACTGAAGAGATCCCTGGGACAGTGGGTGTGCCCTGTTTCTGATCTGCAGGTACAGCTGAGTGTGGAGTGGAGCGCATCTTCTGAAGCTACTCTGCTACAAGGTTCAATCTCGGCCACCCTTAGAGAAACTTTTTATTTTATTTTTAATTATATTTTCTTGTTTATGCTATTACAGTTGACGTCCTAGAGAAACTTTAAAAGAAGTGATTTCCCCCTCGGGAAGTTTGGCAGTTACCTCACAGGAGGAGTCAAGGGCATTCGCCCACCGCATAGACTCAGTCAGTGTCCTGGTTTCAGCTGAGGGTTGTCATTTAAACTGGAGCAGTGAGCCAGTTTAACAACAAACCTGATACGCAAAGTGAATCACATTGGCACAATTAAGTTTAAAATCTTTTAAACTTGCAGCTGTTGTGATTGAAAAAACATTGTCATGACAGTAGTACACAGCCTTCACAGTCTGCCAGTGACCATCAGTGACCAGTAGTATTTGAATGAGCAAACACAACTACCATATTTTGCTGTGTATAATGAACACCCACGTTTTTGTGCACATTATACATGGGATTATTATACCCATGGTATGTGCTCCTTATACTTATGTAGAATGTGCATCCTTGAAAAATCTGGGAAAAGAGTGCACAAAAAAGTACATGGCAAAATATGGTTTATTGTATTTTATTTTTAAACATCTTACATTTTTTCCATTACCATTTAGTCCCCTTATTTCTCCCTCTCCGGGCAATCACCACACTATCGTCTGTGGCCATGAGTCCTCTTTCCCTTTTGCTCGGTCCCTCCACCCTCTAATCCACCCACCCACTAGCCGTCATCTGCTCTCCATCTATGAGTCTGTCCTCATTTTTTTTCTTAGTTCGGTTTGTTCATTAGATCCCATATAGGAGTGAAATCATACAGTATTTGTCTTTTTCTGACTGGCTTATTTCACTTAACATAATGAATGTTAACTCCAGGTCCATTCATACTGTCGCAAAGGGTAAAAATTTCTTTTTTTTACAGCCAAATAGAATTCCATTGTTTAAATATAATTGTTTTATCCACTCATCTATTGATGGACACTGGGACTGCTTCCATATCTTGGTGATTGTAAATAACACTGCAGTGAACCCAGGGGTGCTTATGTTCTTTCGAATTAGTGTTTTGGTTTCCTTTGGCTATATTCCCAGAAGTGGGATTGCTGGGTAAAAAGGCAGATGCATTTTTAATATTTTGAGATATCTCCATACTGCTTTCCACATTGGCTGCACCAGTCTGCATTCCTACCAGCAGTGCAAAGGGTTCCCTTTTATTCACATCCTAACCAACACTTGATTTATTGATAGCCATTCTGACAGGTGTGAGATGGTATCTCATTGTGGTTTTTTATTTGCAGTTCTCTGATGAATAGTGATGTTGAGCATCTTTTCATGTGTACTGGCCATCTGTATGTCCTTTTTGGAGAAGTTTGTATTCAGGTCCTTTGTACATTTCTAAAAATACTTCTTTTTAGAGAGAGGGAGGGAAAAAGAAAGGCAAACATCCATGTGTGGTTGCCTCTAGTGTGCCCCCTACTGGGGACCTGGCTTACAACCCGGATAATGTGTCCTGACTGGGAATCAAACTGGCGAGCTTTTGGTTTACGGGCCAGTGCTCAGTCCACTAAACCACACCAACTGGGGTCCTTTGCCCACATTTTAATTTTTTTTGTGTGTGTGTGTTGACTTTTGTAAATACTTTATAAATTTTGTATATTAACCCCTTATCAGAGTATCAGTGAATATGTTCTCCCATTCTGTGGTTTGTCTTTTTATTTTGTAGATGATTTCCTTTGCTGTGCAAAAACTTTTCAGTTTGATGAAATCCTATTTGTTCATTTTTTCTTTTATTTCCCTTGCCTGGGGAGATATATCTGATAAACATTTCTATGAGCAATGTCTGAGATTTTGCTCCCTGTGTTGTCTTTCTAGGATTTTTATGTTTTGGGTCTAACATTTAAGTCGTTGATCCATTTTGAATTTATTCTTATGTGTGGTGTAGGAAGGTGGTCTAGTTTCATCTTTCTGCAGGTTATCTCCAATTTTCCCAATACCATTTATTGAATTTATCTTTAGTCCATTGTATATGCTTACTTCCTCTGTCAAATATTAATTGACTATAAAAATGTGGGTTTACTTCTGGGCTTTCTGTTCTGTTCCATTGATCTTTGTGTTAGTTTTTATGCCAGTGCCGGGCTGTTTTGATTACAGTAGCCTTGTAGTATAGTTTGATATTAGGTAGCATGATTCCTCCAGCTTTGTTCTTTTTTAGGATCACTGTTGCTAAGTAGAGTCTTTTGTAGTTCCATATACATTTTTGAAATGTTCCAGTTCTTTGAGACACATCATTGCAACCTTGATAGGAATTGTGTTGAATCTATAGATTGCTTTGGTAGTGTGGACATGTTAGTAATGCTACTTTGTCCTATCCATGAACATGCTATGTGCTTCCACTTACTTGTATCTTCTTCAGTTTCTTTCTTCAGTGTCTTATAATTTTCCAAGTACAGGACTTTTACATCCTTGGTCAGGTTTATTCTAGGTATTGTATTCTTTTTTGAAGCAATAGTGAATGGAATTGCCTCCTTAATTTTCTTTTCTGTTTGTTATTGGCATATAAAATGCAACTGATTTCTGGATATTTTGTGTCCTGTTAGTTTGCTGAATTCATTTTTCAGTTCTAGTAGTTTTTTGGTGGAATCTTTGGGGTTCTGTATGTACGGTATCATGTCATCTGGTACACTGTACTTTAAAGCACTATATTAGTTCTTTTGAATTGATTTTTAAAGCAGCTGGAGTTCTGGCCAAGATGGAGGCATAGGTAGAAATGCTTCACTTCCTCACAAACCAAAAGAAGGATAACAACCAATTTTAAAACAAAAACAACCAGAACTGCCAGAAAATCAAAGCATGGATATCTGACAACCAAGGAGTTAAACATTCATCCAGACTGGTAGGAGGGGTGGAGATGAGTAGCAGGGCAGAGAGAATGCCTGGCAAGGTGGCAGACTGTGTGGGTGAGGCAGTGGCTGGCTGAATGGGCCATCCCACATTTGCACATGGATAAACTGGGAGGAACAAATGGGGTGCAAGACAGATGACGAAGCCCAGGGTTTCAGCATGGAAAGCTTAAGACTCAAAACCTCTGGCTGTAAAAAATCTGTGGGGATTGCAGTGGCAAGGGAAAACTCCAAGTCTCACAGGAGAGTCTGTTAGAGAGGCTACCATGGGGTCACAGAGTGTACACAAACCCACCCATATGGGAATTAGCACCTGAAAGAGCACAGTTCGCTTGTGGGAAGCGAGGGAAGTGACTGAAAGCAAGGCGAGAGCCAAGCAAGTGGCATTGTTTTCTCTCTGACCCCTCTCCCACATACACAGCAAAGTGGGTTGCCCCACCCTGGTCAGTACCTAAGGCTACCCTCCTTTACAACATAACAGGTGCACCAAGACAAAGAAAGAAAGCCCAAGTGAAAGAACAGATGAAAATTCCAGGAAAAGAACTAAGTGACAGGAGATAGCCAACCTATCAGATCCAGAGTTCAAAACACTGGTAATCAGGATGCTCACAGAAATGATTGAGCTGGGTTGCAAAATTAGGGAAGAAATTAAGGCTATAGAAGGTGAAATGAAGGAAAATATATAGGGAACCAACAGTGAAGGGAACGAAGCCAGGGCTCAAATCAATTTGGAAGAAAAGAAATAAACATTCAACTAGAATAAAATGAAGAAACAAGAATCCAAAAAAAATTAGCAAATTTGGAACCTGTGGGACAACTTTAAACGTTCTAATATCTGAATCATTGGGTGTGCCAGAAGGAGAAAAGAACAAGAGATTTAAAACTTATTTTAAAGAATAATGAAGGAAAACTTCCCCAATCTCACAAAGGAAATAGACTTCCAGGAGTCCAGGAAGCTCAGAGAGTCCCAAAGAAACTAGACCCAAGGAGGAACAGATGAGGGCATATCATGATGAAGTTACCCAAGATTAAAGGTAAGGGCAGAATCTTAAAAGCAGCAAGAGAAGAGACAGTCACCTACAAAGGAGTTCCCATAAGGCTATCAGCTGATTTCTCAAAAGAGACCTTACAGGCAAGAAGGGGCTGGAAAGAAGTATTCCAAGTCATGGAAGGCAAGGACCTATATCCAAGATTGCTCTACCCAGCAAAGCTGTCATTTAGAATGGAAGGGCAGATAAAATGCTTCCCAGATAAAGTCAAGTTTAAGGAGTTTATCATCACCAAGCCCTTATTATGTGAAATGTTAAAGAGACTTACCTAAGAAAAAGATCAACGCTATGAACAGTGAAATGACATCAAACTCAAAACTATCAACAACTGAATCTAAAAAAAAACAAAACAGCAACAGAATCGCAGAAATGGAGATCAGATGGAGGGTTATGAGTGGCGGAGTGGGATGGGGCGAGGGGAAAATGTAGAGAATAAGAAGCATAAATGGCAGGCACAAAATAGGGTGGAGTTAAGTGCATATAGGGAATGGAGAAGCCAAAGAACTTACATGTACAACCCATGGACAGGAAGTAAACGGGGCGGGGAAGGCTGGAGGGTAAGGAGGTGCAGGGCAGAGGAGGATAAAAGAGAGAAAAGCATGGGACAACTGTAATAGCATAATCAATATACTTTAAAAACAACTGATTATTTTAGAAAGAACACTACAACTGATATTCATATGCCATGAAATGCACCTTGTTAAAATATGCAAGTCAGTGGTTTATAGTATATTAACCCAGAAGTTGTGCAACCATCCCCACTGTTTGGTTCTGGAACATTGTGTCACCCCAGAAACTCTCTCCCATTGGTGGGCACTCCCCATACCCTCCAGCCCCAGCCCCTGGCAGCCACTGATCTGCTTCCTGTCCCTATGGATTTACCTGCTGTGGAGATTTCACATAAATCGAATCCAATAATATGAGGCATTCTGTATCTGCCTTCTTTTACTTATCATGTTTTTAAGGGCCATTCATGTTGTAGTATGTGTATTTCACTTCTTTTTAGAGCTGAATGATAATTGTGTGGATGTACTGTTTTGTTTACCTGTTCATCAGTTGGTGGACATACGGTTTCCCCTCTCTTGAATAAATACCTAGCAGTGGAATTGCTGGGTCACATAACCTGTTAAACACTTAAGAAACTTGTGAGACTATTTTCCAGAGTGACTGCACCATTTTATATTCCGATCTGCACTGTGTGAGTGTTCCTTTTTCTTCACATCCTCACCAATAAAAAGTTATCTTTTAAGTTATAGCCAGCCTATGAGGTGGTATCATTGTGGTTTTGACTAGCATTTTCCTAACATCCTTTCATGTACTTACTGGTCATTCATGTATTTTCTTTGGAGAAATGTTTATTCATATCCTTTGCCCATTTTTTTTATTGGGTTGCTTCTTTTAATTGAGGTTTTTTTTTTTTAAGTTTTTATTTATTCATCTTTAGAGGGGAAGGGAAGGAGAGAGGGAGAGAAATATCAATGTATGGTTGCCTCTCGTGCATCCCCTAATAGGAACTGGCCTGCAACCCAGGCATGTGCCCTAACTGGGAATCGAACTGCAATCCTTTGGTTCACAGGCCCGCATTCAATCCACTGAGCTACCAGCCAGGGCTTTTTACTGAATTTTATTGAGAATATACAAGAGGTCCTTGTATATTCTGGACACCAGTCCCTTATCAAAAATGTGATTTGCAAACATTTTTTCCCATTATTTGGGTAGTTTTTTCCACTTTTGATGATATTGTTTGCCATCAAACAATGCCATTATTTTCTTTTTAAATAAGTAGAAAATTACATTATTAATTTTGATATAACTCAATTTATCCACTTTTACTTACGCTACTTGTGCTTTGGAGCCATATCTAAGAAACTGATGTCCAACCCAAGTCACAAAGACTTGCTCCTGTTTTTTCCCTAAGAGCCTTACAGTCTTAGCTCTTATATTTAATAAATTTTGAGTTAATTTTTGTGTATGGTGTGAGGGAGGTGGTCCAACTTGATTCTTTTGCCTGTGGATAGCTACTGTCCTGGTACCCTTGTTGAATATCAATTGATCATGAATGTAAGAGCTTATTTCTGGATCCTTAATTCTGTTCCATTGATCCGTGTCAGTCCATATGCACTGTCATTTTTTTAAAATATGTTATTTATTTTTAGAGAGGGGAGTAAGGAGAAAAACATTGATATGAAACACGGACTGGTTGACTCTTGCATGCATCCCAACTGGGGACTGAACCTGCAACTTGGATGTGTCCCGATTGGGGATTGAACTGGTGACTTTCCCCTTTGTGGATGATGCCCCACAAGCTGAGCTGTGTAGGTCGGGGCCATGTGCATTATCTTGAATATTGAAGCTTTGTAGCAAGTTTTGAAACCCAGCAGCATGAGCCCCTTTTTTCCTTTCCAACATTGTTTTGGCTGTTCTGGGTCCCCTTACATTTCCATATGAATTTTAAGATCAGCTGATCAACTTCTACAAAAGCAGCTGGAATTCTGCTAGGGACTGTGTTGAATCTGTAGACCGCGTTAGTGGGCATTCCCAATCTAACAATAACTTTGTCTTCTAGCTCATGAACATGGGATGCCTTTGCATTTACTTAAATCTTTAATTTCTTTATTGTTTTGTAGTTTTTGGTGTAAAAGTCTTACACTTTTTTTACAAAAATTCTTTTTCGTATCACAAATGGAATTGGTTTCTTAATTTGTTCATTATTAGGGTGTAAAATTTAATTTGTTATTGTGTTGGAAATCCTGCAAACACGAACTTTTAATTTCTTTTTGTGAATTCCTCATATACAAGATCATGTCATTTACACATAGAGGTAGTTTTACTTACTCCTTTTGATATGGATGCCTTTCTGGTTTCCCTGCTGAGACTCTTCAGTACAGTGTGGGAAGGACGCCCTTGTCTTTCACCATTCAGTGTGGTTAGCTGTGGGTCTTTCTTAGATTCCCTTTATCAGATGAGGAAGTCCCCTTCTATTCCTTATTTTTATTGTTTTTTTTAATCATGAAAAGGTGTTGGATTTTCCAGATCCAACTGACTTTTTAAACTACACTTACACAGCTTTAAAAATTTAGTTAAAAGTTATTAGAATACCATATTAAACTAGTTGTATGTTTGACCAGAATAACTTTTTTAATGAGTAGAAAATTACTGAACACCCTTAAACCAGAATAGCACTGAAAATATGTATTCTTTATATGTCTGTACTTAATTTTGTTTTTAAGTTTCACAAATTCCCTAAGTTGATTTCTAATAGGTAGGCAGACATTAATTTTCTTATTTATCTAAATAAAAGTTTGGATTCCCACATTTTCACATTTCATTTCAAAGTTTGTGGCAATATTGAAAAAATTCTCATAAATTTATTTAGTAGGTTACAACTAGAATTTTAAATGAAATAGAATGGAGAGATTTTACACAAGTGTATACTATAGAATACATCCTAGCAAGGGTGCGTTATTTTGTGAAATTCTGGGCTGTGGCTGTGTGTGTGTATGTGTGTATACTGGGTCATTATATAAGATTCATTTTTTAAAAATGAAAAGTAACACTTTACTGCAAATCTATTAATAAAGGGGCAGGTGTGGGATAGTTACAGTTCTTTTCATCAGTACTTCTGTTGTCCTTTAGGACTCCTGAAGGTTTCTATAACTAAGAATCTAATGTACTTTAGATGCTGGATATAAAATTTTTCTTACTATGCATTGCATGTGAACCTGTGAAACTGGATTTTTATGTGAAATCTTATTTTAAAATGCTGACAACTAACCCAAAACTTTAAAAACACTGTAAAAAAAAGCAGATATAAGAGTAAAAACAAAAACCTCATTATAAATCTGTAGGTTGCTGACCAGTTTCTGACTTTTGACTTAAATGCCTATTTTGCATATGTCCCTCCATTAAACAAAACCTCATTCACAGCATGCAAAGGGTGATGCAAAAATAGTTTATTATGATATACTTTATGTAATGTTAGGTAGTATTTACAAAATAGAAATGATCAGCTATATCCATAGAAATCTAGCATGTCACACAAAGGAATAAATATTTTGACAAAGTAATTACTTCAGTTATAGTGAGCAGTTTATTAGAAACTTTATTTTTTAAAAAAGCGTAAAACTAAACCATCACATTCTTGAATTGTCCAAAACAGAGAGCATCTTCACTGACCAGGCTCTTCTCTTCAGGACCCCAGCAGCCGGCAGAGAACGATCCATCCAGTGGAGTCTGCTTCTGGGAGCTGTTTCAGGCCTGAGGCTTCTGGTGGAGCCCAAGTATGCTAAGGAGTCACCTGGGCCCCTTAGGCCTCTGCTTTCTTCTGCAGGTGACATTTAGTTTGGTGAACAGTATCATTTAGCATTAGTACAGAAATTAAACACATTACTTTATCCAAGTTTGTTCTTTGAACAGGCATTATCTGCCTGTTCAACTAATTTTTGAAAAAATTAGTGGCAGAAGTGATTGCTGTGATTTACTCCCAGACTCCTCACGACAGGGAAGTGATCTACATTTTTTCACTGTTTGTATAGCAGCTCTCCCAGCAGGTTGGCATAGTATGTTTTTGTCTTCAGTAGCTGAATTGAGACATTCACCCTGATAGAAAAATCACTGATTATAATTGTTGAGGAACCACTTAGTAAATATTACTTAGGAATACCACATGAATCAATTCTTAACTGGTTTGAATCCTAACAATAAGTGAGTAGATATGTTGTAAATATGAAAGGTAAATCCTAAAATCCATTTTAATTAAAGTTTTGTGATATAAACATAACAGTAATTTAGTGGTCTTCTTAACCTATTCCTAGCTTTCTATAAAACTGAAGTATGTGATATAACTAGTTGTAAAGGGAGAAAGTGCAAAGGGTATGGAAACGTGACGGCAGGCAGGCAGGCTGAGCACACCTGATGGTTTCTTCACCGTGAGCTCCAACTGCACCTGGGAAGGCTCCCTGGCAGTGCTGTGATTCCGATTGCTGCTGAGTTTACCTAAGACTTCTACATCTCCCTCTATTGGACCATCCAATTCTTAAGTATTTTGTGGCCTTTATGCTAATAATACAGCCCCAGGGCTGGGGAAGTCCAGATGCTCAGCTGGACTCTGCATATAGAGCTTCCCAGGCACAGTCCCCTGACACCAAAACTGCCTCCTAACAAGTCTTAGATTACTGTATGGAAGGGTTTGGTAAAGATGTAACCAACAGGTTGTTCTTTTAATTTTCAGCTAGGATTTTTTTCCCCCTGCCAGGATTTTAAATAGCTCTACCAATAACAAGTATTAGTTTTTTCAACAAAAAACAGTGTTTTGGTATGGGGTCATCGTTATTGTATATACAATATACAGTCTTTAAAACCACCTGTTCAATGACCAAAGCTTTTAGAAAGTCATTAAAAGCATTTCCTTATAATGTTGAGTGGGGTTCAATGTTGTACCCAAAGCTGTTCTCCCTACCTTAAAAAGCGATTATCTGTATACAACTTAAAAAAACATTTTGTCACAAAAATCCTATAGTAACTTCTGAGTAATATTTACAATGCTTAGTCTGAATAATATACATACAAGTTACTTAGAAGAAAAAAAACAGCTTCTTTTAAATACAGAGAAATTGGAAGCACTCTGAGCACTGTAGCTGAAGTTGTCACACAGTCCTGTGTGCACACCTAGAGGAAAGGGACCCAAGGTGTGTTATGCCATCCCTGGGAGCGGTCTAGTGTGGAGCTATTACTCCTGCTCTGTGAGTCTGGCTGAAAGACTTCGGAAAACGTAGGCCTCTGCCCATTACAGAGAAACATCAAGACTTGAAACTTAAACTGTGCTCAAAAGGGCCAAGGAGTGAGGCCAGGTCTTTTCCAGTAGACAAAACGAGAGAAACTGACAATGTGCACCATCATACAGGTTTATGTTGTCTTCCTATGAAAGAACCTAAGAAAAGAGGTTTTACTAGACCTCACTTAAGGTTGATCCTTATTTCAGTTTTCAACTGTGGAAAGTGTGAACTTGCCAAAGGTGTTTGTACATGTGTAAGAACATGCAAGATTGTACACAGTGCACCAGCCTGTCCCCACTCTCCTATCTCCTGAGGGCAGTCTGAGGACTGATAGCACGTGGCCTGTTGTGGAAGAAGAAATTGTCCCACACTGCCCTGCTGTGTGGTGAAGGACTTGACCTTTAGACCAAGTCCTTCAGGTGTCAGGTGAATAAAAAGACCTTTTCTAGAATTAGAAGTCTGATATCTGGCTGAGCACAGGCGTTTTAGGGATTTGGTGGCATGGAAAAGCCAGAGGAGAGGCGTCTGCATACTGGTTGACTTGGAAGCATGACCTTTGTGGAAAGTCCCCTGGTGGCTCCTCAGTCCGCACTGACTGAGAAAGGGACCCTCAGTCCCTTTCTGACTGGTCAGTCCAGTAACTAACTCTTCTCTCAAGAATGACAAGGGAGAAGAGCCTATGATGAATGACAGAAAAAATGGGGTGCAAATACCTTCATAATAAGGACCTTTAGAATAAAGTTTTCAGCAGCATTCCTCCCAAGTCCTTTCATAAAGGTCCAGTGGACACTACTGGACCAGGGCACCGAGGACTGTTCACTAATCTCAACTGAGTGGAGAAAATGTTAGGGCAACAGTTAAAATTTATTTATAAAGCAAATTCCTATTTAACATAAAACACTGTAGTAACTTGGTTGTCCAGGATTTTCAGGGTATGAGATATTCCACTGATTTTTCCAGAGAAGTGAAACTTTCAATTAATGTGCCAATTTTTTTCCTCTAGCATTAAATTCCTTTGAAGTACAATACTGTGTACTTCCCTGTCCTTTGTAAAACTTTGGAAATACTTAAAATCCCACCCCTCCCCTTTTGGTGATAAAGGGAGTGACTGAATCCTTTTTGAAATTGTGTTAAATGTTAACACAAATTCAATGTTGCAAATGAGACTGTTAAATTTCAACCTTCCTTAGGACAATAATGTATAAACTTTTATTTCATGAAAAATAAATGTTGATGGGTTATATTTTCTTCACTCTAACTGAAAACAGCTTTAAATCCCTAAAGAACTGTCTGAGACCTAGATACGTCAGTGAGTGAGTGGCCGAGTGTGGTCAGCCATGAAGACACCTCGCAGGCATCAGGGAGTGGGGAGCAGGAAAGGCTCCCCACTGCCCCTCCCTCCGAAATGAGGCCACAGGGCACACCCTTGTCATTTCAGAGCTGGAGAAAAGAGGTCACAGGGCTGTCGCTCAGCCTCCAGGCCCTGCAGGATTCGGGCAGGCACTGTGCCACACCACACGCCCCCAACCCAAGTGTAGAAACAGAATTGCTGAAGGGAACCCTAGGCAACAGTGATAAAAGGACAGTGTCCCACCTCCCTCTGTGGTGAAACAAATGGTATAAATGCATCTCCATCAAAAATGCTTTTTGGGCTGTCTGCTTTGTTTCCTGGCCTTTTGGTCAGAATTCCTTTCAGGCAGATTCCAAGAGCCACAACTGCCTTAAAAATTGCCGTTTTCTCTCTTCAAAAGTGTGGCCCATGGGAGGCCACAGTGTTGGGTGCGAAGTGTTGGGTCAGTGAGCAAGTGACTGGATCTGGACGCTGCAGGACTTGTAGGGAGCGGCCTCTGATCTTAGCTCCTCTCAAACCCACACATTCCCACCACAGCCTCCAGCAGCACCCCCCAGGACAGCCAGCACTTCCTCCCACAAATTCAGACTCATCGTGACACCTTATTGCACAAACTTCAACTTCTAGTGGCCAAGTGCTCTGCCTGCCACCTCACCCCGCCCACTGTCGCACCTCTGCCAGGGAGGCTGCTGATGGCCACAGTCCTCTGGAAATAACCACCTTCATATCTGCTCAAGTACTGGCATCACGAGTGGTAAAAGAATTAGAAAGTGCGTGTGCATGCTGTGATTGGTGTGTATGTTCACAAAATTGTCAAGGGAAGTTTTGCCATTATGATTGCCACAGTTTATGTGCAGGTGCTAGCAGACTGTAAATGAAGCAAACATTTACAGGAAAGTAGTTACAACTGTGAAGAGTTTTGCCTGTTAACATTTGGCTCCTGGGGAGGGGGTGGGATGCACCCACTGCTTGGCTCCTACTGGGAGCAGCCAAGCATGGAGCACTGGGACTCATCGTCCCCTATGCTCCCCTGGCCACAGCCCCAGCGGCAGCTCAGGCCTGACCTGAGGACCTTTCTGTAACAATACAGAAACCAGCCTGACCTCCACACTGTTACTCCTTCTCTCCTCAGTGGTTTAGGTGGCTAAATTCTTCCCTGGGGTTTAGTGGGTTCATGGAACACAGAGGACACTGTACAGTGGGGACTGTGGCAGTACCATGGTGGGACATGCAGGCCAGAAGTGAAGGCCCTCTTTGTTCTGTCCTGTGTGCTCATTCTAGTTGGAGACCAGGACTGAGCACTGGGACACCCAGCCCTGGCTTGGAGCCTGACAGTTGTCATCAACATGTAATGGCACTCAGCCACGCCAAGGGAGGGCTGCGCACTGTATGGGAGGCTGCAGCATAACCAGCCTTTTCTTAGAGGAGTCAGAGTGCCCCCATTTCTCAGCCACCTTAGCACTCGCAGTCCATTTCCTGGTAACCCCCAGACTGAACCAGCCCCTGGCAAATGAGTCCTGTTGTTCTAGAGTGAGTGGGAGAGTCCTTTATAGAGGCTGCCATGACAGGAGGTCTCCCTCAGTCTCCCTTTGACCCCCAAATGCTGTACCTAACACATTTGTTCCCCAGGATTCCTGAGATCTCATGTCAAAGGAAAAGTCAGTAAAATGAATGCTCTTTTACCTATTCAACTGCAGATTTCAAACCTTCACAACAGAAGGCAGATGGAGCTTGACTCCATGCAGGACCTGCCTTGGAAACCTCAGGGAGGGATAGAGCGAAGGGGTCACCTGGAGAGAAGAGTCCTTGAGGCTGCAGGGCACTCACAAAGGACACCGGCTTGATAAGGCAAGTTCTCGGAAGGAGCGACATAAAACCGTAGTGCCCAGACAGCCACACGGAGGACAAGGTGGATAGGCCTGTCCCTCAGATCTGCTGAGTGTCACCACACTCTGCCCCAGAGGATACCTGCTGAAGAGAGTAGGACTGCAGGTCCCAAATACTCCTTCTGTTCACTCCCATTCTGAGCATGACACAGAAAGGTCACCGCCCTTTAAAAATGCTGCCAATCTACATGTCAGGGGGTATCTGGTAAGTAGAATTTAAAAAACAGAGCTGATCTTTTAAAAACATAGAACAGCCCTCACTGGGAGGGGCTTAGTTGGCTGGAGCATCATCCTGGTACACCAAGGTTGCAAGTTTGATCACTGGTCAGGGCACATATGGGATATAACCTATCAAATGTTTCTTTTCTCCCCCCAACCCTGCCTCTTCCTCTCTAAAAAAACAGTAGATGTCCTCAGGTGAGGATTAAAGGGTAAAAAGAAGTAAAAAACAAACAAAGAAAAAAAAAACCACCATGGAAGAAGGAAAGCATTACGCCAAAGAGTTACAGGTGTGAACAGGGACGGCTGAGGCCAGCATGCAGCTCCTCAGCCACTGCAGTGAGCAGACAGCACCAAGCAAGTGCCTTTTGTCTGGCCTTTCTGGGGCTCTTCCCAAATGACCTTGTTTTCAAATCTAGAAACTGAGCAAGACACCTCTACATTTTTACTCCCCAAGTATCTGTGTACCTACAGACTATCAAACTCACGCAAGCATTACAACAGAGCAGACACATGCTCTTGGCAGTACAATCAACAGACCAACAGATACAGGACAGCTGGAGGGAGTTCCCCCAGACATTCTGCTCTCAGCCTGCCCCTTGCTGCTAAGGCAGCAGAGCTGGCTCCCCTTGGTTTTGTTATACTTCTTATCTCAGGATGAACAGTTTCCATGGGCCTATGAGAAAAACTCCAATTTAAGTCTTTACAAGAAGTGTTGTAGAGTGTTTTGTGGCAGTTATAAAGGTCTTATTCAAACTGTTAAAAAATCAGAATTATAATAGGTTTACTTTAGGTTCTCTAAATGCTAAAAGAGAACTCTTCAGGTCTCAGATTGGAGTTAAGAACAAAAAATAATGGGCCATTCTCATCTGATTGACATCCTCTGCATTTTCTCCTTGACTTAACATAGGGGTCTTTGCCTAACCTTTTCAAAAGTAACATGAGGTTTATTTACAGAGAGGTTACAGAGATAAATCACCTGTCCTCACAAACGACATACCTGGGGGGAATTCATCATCATTAGCAATTACAGTCCGAAACCCCATGCCACAGGTCAACAGGCCAGGCAGGTGCGGAAAGACCAGACTGGCGACCACAGAAAGGACTGAGCAGAGGAAGGAATGAGAGGGCTGGGGTTTTGTGCAAGATTTAATAAAAAAAACAAAAATAGGAAAGGCTGTTTTCAACATTTTCAAGGTTGTGAAAAGTTTACCACAATTATCTGGGGTGTGGTTCTAAGCTGCATTAGTGGAACAAATATAAAATGCTGACCTTCCCTCAAGCTAACTGGTGGCATACACCATGCCCTTCGCCCTGCTCCCCCAGCTCCTCCCATAGCTAGCAAGTTGTCAGTGTTGTAATCTAGGTAAAACCACATCCCAATGGCTTGTTCTCTCTCCAAGGGACTCAGTATGCAGCAGAGCTACAGGCCCCTGGGCCTGATTCTCTCTCTCTGTCCCTCTCCCCAGTGCTCTTGATGAGACAGAGCCAGCTTTTCAATAGGCTGCTGGGCCTTAATATTGACAGTGAGTGAGGCGGACGACAGCAGGGACTCCCAGCACAGACCCAGCTAGAGCAGATGGCCCTTGCAGCCCCCACTGCCTGGCTTGTTTTAGAAGAACCAAGGAGTAACAGCTCAGACAGAGCCAAGAGGAAGCTGGAATCAGCACAGCAGGGAATGGTGTGAACAACCCATAAACTAGTCTCTCATGCATCCATACCCACAGTTAATAATGACAATAACAATAATAATAAAAATAAAGGTACAGACAAAAAGTAGCATTTGGGTTGTGCTGCCACAAGCTGGGAAGGGTGTGTGTTCAATCGGAATGGGACAGTCAGTCTTTCTTCAAGTCCCTGGATTCAAAGAGCTTCAAGCGTTCTTGCACCGTCAAGCCTTCCTTTAGACTCTGGGGAAGAAAGCGGGAGAAAACCAGTTTACCAACAGGCCTATTGCTGGGGTGCAGGCTGCAAGCAGAGGGGTGTAGGGTGGGGGTGGGAAGAGCTTCTCAGAGATTAGTGGGGCATGCTAAGGAGAGAGTGGTCTCCTGTGAAATGGTGTTATCTGTATGAAAAAGGGGGAAAAAAATCAGAGAAAGAAGACCACTGAGTATAAGAAGCTGAATTCCGAGCTTAGGGCTCTTTAGGCAAGCAGCTATTGGGCCGATTCAGCCAGGAAAAGAAGATTGTGCCAAGAACTAGAGAAGCAACCATCCATGTCCTCCTGTGTGTGGGCCACGCCACATCTGCTTCCCAGGCAACCATCATTACCCAGAGGCCTAGTGCCAGGAGGACTAGGGCCCCTGGGGCACTGCTGCCAGAGTGCAGGCCAGGGACCCACCTACATTCTCCCTGGCAGCACTTGCTCTCAGACTCACCCCTTACCCCTGTCCCCAGTATGAAAAAGCCTACTGAATTTACTGTTATGGGGACTTGGGAATATGTTGACATATCTACTAAGATTTTCAAAATGTAAAACTGATATACTATTCTTAAGGGACTCTGGGAAAGTTTAAATCTGTGTGTCCCACTATGAGTGATACTTTTGCTCTTGGAGTCTCCCCAAAGGTTTAATTTCCAGACGAGAAAGGTGCATCACTTTAGAGCATGACTGGGATGGTGGAATCTCAGCACCGGCTGGGACAGGCCTGGCTTCCTGGTTGCCATCTAAATCTTTCTGCAAATCTCAACACTGGATTCTAAGAGGCCAGTTCCTCCAGCTTCTGTGTGCCAGAGCTGATAAAGAGAGCTTGACAAGACACATGCAGCTCAAGGCTGGCCCCAGTGCAGGGCACAGATGACACCAGTTTCAGCTACATATCAGAGCTGTTGGCCCTGCAGGCCTGGACAGCCCAGCCTGTGGCTTCAGAGTGGGCCCTGTGAGGGAATCTGTGCGACTGAGCTTCCTCCGAAGTCTGAGGGAAGTGGGCTTGGCCCTAGTGTCGCCATCCTCACCAAGAATGGCTCTACTTGCTTTTTACACTGTGGAATTGTGTAAATGATACATGAAATGATTTTTAAAAAGGGGGGGAGGTGTCCAACAGCTAGTCTTTTCTAACTCACTGGTCCAGATGGACCTTCACATTAGGGTCACTTCTGAAGCTTGCCATTGAGTAGGTAAGAGAATAGAAAGAGATCCACATCCCATTCCAAACCAGAACTTCCCTTAAAGCACTCAAGGCCTAAAATCCTTTTAAGTCTCTTTCCCTTAGCGCTTCAGGTCAAGAGGTGCTGTCCACACAGCAGCCTGTTTCATCCAGGTGCTGGGCATAGGTGGGGTCACCCTGCAGAAGGCCACCTGGTTCTGTGCCATGATGCTCTGTTCTGGTTGGGGACACGCCCTTGAGATAGCAGTGAGCCATCACTCCTAAGATCTGAGGGATGGTGAGTATCCCGCCTCTGCCCACTGTCAGACACCCTCGAGTGACAGTCCCTGCAGTGCTCAGGGACAGGAAGCTGGGAAGCAAGGCATGGTGAGGGGCAGTCCAGGCTATGATAGGTCCAAGGCTTCACGCTCAGTGCCATGTACTGCCGCACACTCCAGCTGTTAAATCCCCTCCCCTGCTCCCCATGCACTTAGAAAAGGGCTCTCAGGGTGTAGCCAGCTCCCTTGGGGCTCATCCCTTCCATAGGGCTGGTCTGTCTGATGAATACTCCATGAGGACCCCAGGAAAACGTGCTTTCTGGATGCAATCCCAGAAAAGCTGCACTGTTTTTAAGCAATAAGCTTGCTTTGACTTTACGGTGCTGAGACTTTCTATATTTTTACGTGAGGCATGACGTTGAAACAGCATAAATGAAAGATGTAAGTCCATACATGTTAGATCTCACCTCAAAAAGCACCAGTGACAGATTCGTTTCTACACGACTTCATCCTCATCCTCCCATGGGGGGGTGGGGAGTGTCTCCAAATACAGTCACGGAAAAGAACAGCACAAACCCTCATTGGAGTGCCTACTGACCTACCTGGCATCACCAAAGGTGTCTATGAGGCCATTTGCAAGGCCCCCACCTTTCTACCTGGGCCAGCAGGACTGCCCTGCACAGCAAGGCCTTCCTTCTCACACTGTCAAGTCACGGCCAGGGTAGCCGTGGGTCTTCTCATGGTCAAGCCACATACGAACTCATACCCTCCTTTGAGAGGCCCTCCCTGGGTGTGCCTAACAGTTTTCTTTCTACCTTGTTCTAGCTGGTCCTGGCCAGTGTACCAGGTTCTTCCAGTGTACTCTGCTGCAAAGGCCTTTTCAGTGACTTTCTGGCCTTTCATCCAGACCCCCCGGACCACCCCCACCCCCTGCCCATCCTGACAAGGTCAGCACTGCAGCAAGGCTTCCCTAGAAAGGTCCTAGCAGAAGCTTTGTCACTTTTTACAGGTACAGGGGAACTTAGAGCAGCTGCAGTTAAGCCTCAAAAGAGTAGAATCTTCAAGATGACCATAAACCAAATAGCAATTTTTCCTTTTGCTAAACAGTGTTTTTCATGTCTAAAGAAAAAAAGTCGAAACTAAGTTTTCAATGAAGTCTAAACAATATTTGGTCACAAGTGACTTATGACTGCAGAAGAATAAATAAAATATCAACAAAATAAAGCTCTTCCTAAACAGCCAAACCTTCACCCTAGAGGATAATGGGGCTTGTCCCGACTGAGGATGAGCTGTGGGTAACTGAGGAAGAGCCTGTGCTGTCTGGCCCCGAGGTGGTGTCGGTGTCCCTGTGGCAGAAGCCTGGACCGTGTGTTTTCCCTGCTGCCCTTAGCCCCTCAGCAGGGAGTGAGTGAGGTCAGAAACAGCTAGGCCAGTAAGCACAGTCTACAGTGAGGGACCATGCGACCTGATGCCCGGCCCTCCTGTGGAGACCAGGTCCAGGCTCAGTGCCATCGTCCTCCTGGTCATTTTCAAACAGACGGATGTCTCAGTCAGCTGTTCAGTGTCCTCACCGCCTTTCTTTATAGCACTGCCTTTAATGGCACCCAGTGAAATACTTTTGCTTTGTTCAAAAGGTCCTGGTGAAGCACCCAATCATGTGTGGTCATCTTGCTCTGCTGAGTCTTCCTAAGCCATGCCCGTGAGGGATCAGCTCCCTGCATACCCCAGCTTGGCCCTGCCTCAGCAGCAGACTGGGTGAGGGTTCTGCAGCACTGGGGGATTCTGCTTGTCAGTGGCTGATGGTGGGTCAAGCCTGCCTCTTGACAGAAGGCAAGAGGGGTTTACCCCAGAGAAAGTGGAGTGCACACAGCATGCTGACCTGGGCCTGAGCCCACCCACGAAGCTTGACCACCAAACTGGAGGGGAAGCTCCTCTCCGCCAGGGGTCAAGTCTGTTACAAGGTTATAGTGCCAGTTAACTCTCCAGAACAGGTTAAAGTAATTTCACTTGGATTGTGTATGTGCTTGCTGGAGCATCATGAATTAAACAAAGACAATAAAACAAGGAGCTTGCTATGGAGGTGTGAGCAGTGCATGCAGGTAGCGCCCTCTGGAGGGCAGCAGGTGGGTTGCTGGTAAGAGGTGGTTTACCTACATGACAAGGGACCTGGAAGCGGGCTCGTTTCAGTTATCCCATGAGACCTGCTCAATTACGGACTGTCAGAGGAAAGAGCAAAAAATAAGACACATACAATAAATCCTAAAAGCAACAAGCTCATCATTCTCCACCCCCCGCCCGTCCTTCTCTTGTGGAGGCGGCAGTGGGGCAGGGACTGATTGATCACTGGAGATTTGCTACTAGAAGGTTAGGGGGAAGGGGTCAGGCAGCTTCCTTTCCCAAAAGCAGGTAGAATCAGTATTCAACTAGGGGAGTGCAAGGTAGAATTCACTCCATGCCCTGCTCCTCACAGGCCTGGCCCTCCCACTGTGCCTGTAGGAGCTGGTTCCACTGCTGAATGAGGGAGATAAGAAGCTTGAAGTCACCAGAGCTGGCGCCAAAGGGTGAGCATGTGGGGGAGAGTTCTAGGCCCTGGCGACCTTCCCCTGCTGCCTGTCCTGGGCGCTGACTTGTGTTCCTCTACCAGACCTCTGCCAACCTCTGCGAGCCCCACATACCCAACCCTGGATCCTAGACTCACCTTGGATCTGATGTTCCTGAGTTGCCGACTCACACAGGATCTGTCCTTTTTTAGGAAGTCAGGGTTGCTTTTAGATTTCATTATATCTGAAGAAACAAACAAACCTATTACTTTGTTTTTCAAAGTCCTCTGGAACCCTAGTAAATCTTTAAAAATTTCACAAGCTGATTTTAGTGCCATAAACGACATTTCCTTTAAAAATGTTAAGAGTAATCAAAGCCAATAACCATAAAACATACTAGATCTTTTCCAGAACAATTCGAAGCACAACTGGAGGACATCTGTGTGTAGGGCACTTGGTCAGCACCCCACCACGGGTCTGACTGTAGGTGAAGCTGTGCTCTCTGTGGGGACCACTTGGGACCGCTCCCTCTAGAGCTACGCCTTACCAGTTGAGCGGAACAACTGTCCCTGTGATTCATTTGCCCACCTTCCTTCTGAGAATCCAGGACTGTTGTAACACAAAAGAGTCAGACCAACTCCTTCTCATAACACACCCCACACTGAGGCAGCCATTAACAGCATGTGTATTGTCCTTTAAACTTCTGGAAAGTGACTGCTTAAACGAACATACCCTGGGCCATCATGTGTCCTGGGTGTGTGGTTTAAAAAAACAATACACTTATTGATCTTTATTCATGTCAAAATGAAAATATCTAATCTTTTAAGAAAAAAACTTATTTTGCTGGGTCCTTTGTTGTCTCTTGTGATAGCCTTTGTTTTTGAAATCTATTTTGTCTGGTATAGGTAATGCTACCACAATATTTTTTTGTTGTTTCCATTTTCATGAGATATCTTTTCCACCCCCTTACTTTCAGTTTGGATCTTAAGTGACTCTCTTATAGGCAGCATATGTAAGGGTCTTGAATTCACATCAATTCAGCCATTGTATGTTTTTTGATTGGAGCATTCAATTTGCATTTAAAGTATTAATAAGTAAGTATTTATTGGCATTTAACTATTCATATTTTTTATCTTTTCTTCTTAAAGAAAACCCTTTAACATTTCTTATAATACTGGTTTGGTGGTGATGAACTTTTTTGGCTTCTTCTTGCCTCGGAAGCGCTTTACTTGTTCTGCAATTCTAGATGACAGCTTTGCTGGGTAATCCTGTTTGTAGGTCCTTGCTTTTCATCCCTCTGAATATTTCTTGCCAGTCCCTTCTGGCCTACAAAGTTTCTGTTGTACTTCTTAATCCCTTGGGCACTTTCTTATAGGTAACTAACTGCATTTCTTTTGCTGTTTTTAAGATTCTCTTTGTCTTCAACCTTTTGCATTTTAATTATGATGTGTCTTGGTGTGGGCCTTTTGGGTTCATCTTGTTTGGTGCTTTCTGGACTTGTATTTCTAGTTCCTTCGCCAGGTTAGGGAAGCTTTCTGTCATATTTTCAAATAGCTTTTCAATCTTTTGTTTTATCTCTTCTCCTTCCAGCATCCCTATGATGCGAATGTCGGACACTTGAAGTTGTCCCAGAGGCTCCTTACAGTATCCTCAATTTTTGCATTCCTGTTTCTTTCTGCTGTTCTGATTGGGTGTTTCCTGTCTTGTTATCTTCCAAATTGCTAATTTGATTCTCTGCTTCATCTTCTCTACTGTTGATTCTCTATAATGTATTCTTCATTTTGGTTACTGTATTATTCACTTCTCACTGGTTCATGTTTCTATCTCTATTTTTATATTCCCCATGTCTCTTCTGAAATGCTAAGTTCATCTACTGTTCCTCTAAGTTCACTGAGCAACTTTATTACCAGTGTTTTAAACTCTGTATCTAGTAGATTGCTTGTCTCCTTTTCATTTAGTTCTTTTTCTGGAGTTTTTTTCCTGTCTTTTCATTTGGGCCATGTTTTGCTGTCTTCTTATTTTGGCAGTTTCTATGTGCTAGGTAGAGTTGCTACATCTCCCAATCTTAAGAGAGTGGCCTTGTATAGTAGGTGTCCTATATCGCCCTGTGGTATAGTCTCCCTTGTCACAGAAGCCTGGCATTCCAGATATACCCTGAGACCAACTGGAAGGGAGTCCTGGCCAGGAGCACAGCAGAGGAGCTGCTTTGCAGGGGCCAACTTTATGGAGTAGGACTTGCTTCAGCAGGGCTCTGGTGCCCAGTGAGTCTGCCCCTTGAGTGTGTTGCTCATGAGGTGGTTGCTTGGTGTTTTGGTGTGAACTTAAGCTGTCTACCAGGTGCACTGGCCAAGGTCAGCCACTGCCTGTGCTCTTCCCAGGGCCACCCAGCATCAGCTACACAATGATCAGCAGATGGCTGCTCATTGTGCTGGGCTAAGACATACCTGGGAAAGACCAAACTGTGAACCCAAGCTGGCTAACACTAGTGCTAACCCTTGGGACACTTAGCAAGGGGTATGGGGCATGCCAAGGCCAAATGCTCTTTTTTTTGGGGGGGGGTTGTGAACCTTTGAGGGACTTTTTAGTAAAGCCTGCAGCAAGTCAAGACAGGCCATTTGTATGAAAAAGTCACTGGAAACTGCTTGGGTGGACCTGCAAATTGGGTGGAGCAGGATTTTTAAGGAATCACTGGGTTGGGGGAACAGCCTCCTAGGACTCAGGAGACTCAGTGAGACATAGAAATGGTACCCACCTATAGGGAGGGCTCAGCAAAGTGACAATAGCCTCTGCCAGCACTTCTACTTGGGAGAAAGCTCCCCCTCCTATTCTAGCCCCAAAGCCAGACAATTCAGTTTCTCCTTGCACGTCTCTGGCACCTTTTGAGTTGCTGCCCCAGTGTCAGAGCTCAGAGTGAGTGAGTCTGAGTACGTCTGCACAGACCCTTTAAGAGAAACTTCCTGGGACTCAGGAAGCCCTCTGTCTCACTCAGCCTCAATCCCCACTGGTTTTTAGAGCCAGAAGTTGTTGGGAGTTCTCTTTCCAGCTCTGTATTCCTGGGCTGGATGCCTGGTGTGGGGTTGGGCCTCTTGACTCCTCAGGACGGAACATCCACATCTGAGATATCTGTTCCGATTTTTATCAACCACCCATGGCTGTTCTGCATCTCTGCCCCTCCTATCAGTTTCAATGTGGCTGCTTCATTATATTTTTGGTTACAGGACTTCTGTTCAGCCTGACTTTATGTGATTCTGAAGGATGGCTCTTCTGTAGTTTAGTTGTAATTTTGATGTGGTTGTGGGTGAGTGCATTGTTTATCTATGCCTTCGTCTTGACCAGGAGCTCCTCAACCTAATCTCTTGTAAAAACTACACAGTAGTTCACTGTGTAGTGATGTCATGGGCCTTCTGTTTGATGAAAGTAGAAGATTGTTTAGGGGGAATCAGTTTTTTGCTCCTGTATACTGTGCTAAATATTCTTGTTGGCACATTTCTACGCACCTTTTTAAAAATATATTTTATTGATTATGCTATTATAGTTGTCCCATTTTCTCCCCTTCATTCCCCTCCACCCTGCACACCCTCTCCCACCCACATTCCCCCCCTTTAGTTCATGTCCATGTGTCATACTTAGTTCTTTAGCTTCTACATTTCCCATACTATTCTTGCCCTCCCCCTGTCTATTATCTACCTACCATCTATGCTACTTATTCTCTGTACCTTTTCCCCTCTCTCCCCCTCCTACTCCCCTGTTGATAACCTCCATGTGATCTTCATTTCTGTGGTTCTGTTCCTGTTCTAGTTGTTTGCTTAGTTTGTTTTTGTTTTAGGTGTGCTTGTTAATAATTGTGAGTTTGCTGTCATTTTACTGTACATGTTTTTTTTATCTTCTTTTTCTTAGATAAGTCCCTTTAACATTTCATACAATAAGGGCTTGGTGATGATGAACTCCTTGAACTTGACCTTATATGAGAAGCACTTTATCTGCCCTTCTAAATGAAAGCTTTGCTAGATAGAGCAATCTTGGATGTAGGTTCTTGCCTCTTATGACTTGGAATAATACTTTCCAGCCCCTCTTAACTGCAAGGTCTCTTTTGAGGAATCAGCTGTCAGTCTGATGGGAACTCCTTTGTAGGTGACTGTCTCTATCTCTTGCTGCTTCTAGAATTCTCTCCTTCATTTTAATCTTGGGTTACTTAATGATGATGTGCCTTGGTGTGTTCCTCCTTGGGTCCAACTTTTTTGGTGACTGAGCTTGCTGAACTTCCTGGAAGTCTATTTCCTTTGCCAGATTGGGGAAGTTCTCCTTTATTATTTGTTGAAATAACTTTCCCACTTGTTGCTCTTCCTCTTCCCCCTCTGGTACCCCTATAATCCGGATGTTGGAAAGTATAGAGATGTCCTGGAGGTTCCTACGACTCTCCTCATTTTTCTGAATTCTTGTTTCTTCATTCTTTCTGTTTGGTTGTTTCTTTCTTCCTTCTGGTCTACTCCATTGATTTGAGTCCCAGTTTTCTTCCCATCACTACTGGTTCCCTGTGCATTTATTTTACTTCATTTCACTTAGCATAGCCTTCATTTTTTCATTTAATTTACAACCAAATTCAACACGTTCTGTGAGCATCCTGATCACTAGTACTTTGAATTGTGCATTTGATGGGTTGGCAATGTCTTCATCGCTTAGTTGTATTATTTCCAGAGCTTTGATCTGTTCTTCTGTTTGGGCCATGTCTTTTTTGGTCTTGTCATGCCTGTTACATTGAGGGGTGGAGCCTCAGGTGTTCACCAGGGCGGGGCAACCCAGTTGCTGGGTTGTGACGCTATGTGTGGGGGTGGGATCTGAGAGGGAACAATGGCCTTTGCTCTGTTCTCTGCTACCAGATTTCAGTCACTTCCGCTGCTTCCCCTAAGCAACCTGGGCCCTTCTGGTGCTGATTTCTGGATGGATGGGCTTGTGTACCTTCTAGGACCCTGTGGGTCTCTCCAACAAATTCTCCTTTGAGGCTGGGAGTCTCTCCCAGCACCTCAATCCCCACAGGTGTTTTCAATTGGTGTTTTGAGGCTCTATTTCCTGGCGCCTGGACCCTAGGTTGTGTGGTCTGTCTTGCTCCCCAATTTTGCCTGGTTATTTGCGCGCAAATGTGGTACTGCCTGGTCAGCCAGCTGCCTTGTGCACAGTGTCCCACTTCACAACTGCCACCTCACTGGGTCTGCCCGTTGCCACCCTGCACCTGGGATCTGCCAGCTGCCGCCTGCGTGCACAGGGTCTGTCAGCTGCTGCCTTGCACACCAGGTGCTGCTGCTTTTTTTGCTGCGACCCCTCTCCACCCGGATGCTTGACTCCGCCTCTCCTACTGGTCTGGATGAATGTGTGTAGAGGAGTTGAAATAACTCCTTGGTTGTCGGACTTCCATACAGTTCAATTTTCTGTCAGTTCTGGTTGTTATTTTGTTTCTAAATTGTTGTTGTTCTTATTTTGGTTGTAGGAGGAGGGACAGCATGTCTACCTATGCCTCCATCTTGGCTGGAAGTCCTGCACCTGTTTTTTTTTCAGAAGTTAAATTGGCAGGTCACAGGATGTACACATTCTGCCCCTAATTCTAAGTCATCCTCTCTCACTGTCTCCTGGCTACCTGGGGCTCGCCTCTGAAGCAGCCACTGTTACCATTTCTTTACCCACCCAAAGTCAGCCTATAGTTGGATTTTAAATTCTGTCTCACTGCCTTCCAGAAAGACTGCTACCTTATCATCCCAGCAGTGATGCAGTTTTCTCTCCACCCATTTGTCAGTACAGCTACTATCCTTAATCTCTGGCCAGCTGCGAGAAAGAAGTTGAATTTTTTTGGATATTAGTGATCTAAGACATCTTTTCATTAGGAATTATTATCCCCTAGCTCCTCTTCCCAAGGCCATCCACAGATTTTATTGTAAAACCCTAGGATTAAGCAACTAGTGAGAGCTTCCTCCACCAAACTGTTGAGTTCTTTAGGAAAATGGAAAAACGCAACCTGTCATTACTATAAAATACGCGTTGCTGGTGTGATTTCCCTTAAAAGCAATCAACATAGTGTCTGCCACCAGTGCACCTACAGGAAAACAGTTTCCTATCCCAGGGCACCTGCCAGCTCATGGGCCAGCATCCCTCTGGCTGTTCTCTGTGAGGAAATATATAAGCCTAAAATCAGAAACATAAAATCAATTCTCTGCTCTCACTCAAGACCCAGTTAACTCTATGAACAAATCCCCACGAATTGCTGAGTCACAACCCAGAGCCTGAATTGCTCACCATATCCTGACACAGGGGTGTTCTCAGGGGATTTTTCACCCAGTGCTTCTGTGGCTGTTTTCAGCTGCTCTTTCAACCTGCTGATATCACAGTCAGCCTTTGCCCTCACGATGCTCAGTTCTGTGTAGATGTCTTTGTACTTGTCACTAGCATATTTCTTGTCCTTGAAGATAAATGGTCAGAGAAAACAGTGGTTACAACCAGGCCAGGTAGTCTGTCTCCCAGGGGTTGGAATGCTTCTGCCAATTGCCTGGGGAACACATCAGTGGCAGGGGAGGCAGGCTGACCCGGCCTGGTCTTCCAAAGGCAGAAACTGGACACAAACTAAAATAGGCACAGAGTCTCCATCTGAACACAAGACAGGATCCTGGAGAGCTCTTGCAAGCTCAGGCATAGTGTGGGCTGGTCAACCCACCAAGGACCACCAAGGACCTCCCTGTAATCCAGCCTGTAAAACTCCCTCTCTGTTTTAGATTTCCTAAGGAATCCTAGAGGATAATGGCAACCGAATGAACTCTTGCTTCCCAGGATGACATTTCTCTCAGGTCTCACTGTCCTGCCAAAACACAAAGAAGGCATGGAGAACAACCAGGATACAAGGAGACCAGATAGACTTCTCATTTTTACCATACCTGCATGAAGTGGGTTTTTAAGAGAATTCAAATTTGAAAACACATGCCTCATGAAAATAAAGTCTATTCTAGAACAGCCTGAGATACTTGCTGAGCATAGGGACCTCTGTGAGCTCTGCAGACAAGTGAGCTGCCCCATTCAGAACGGGCCCTACCCCATTCTGAGCCCCCCCTGCAGATCCACCCCTGTGGGGGTGTGCTCGCACCCGCAATGCCGTCTGGAGCTCGTCCTTGAGAGAGCTGATCTCCTGTTTTAGGTACTGTATTTCCGATTCCTTGACTCGTAGTAAGACCTAGAATGAGAGAGCAAAAGGAATTTTGGAGTCTTTAAAGCGAAGACTGAGCAGAGAACTCCCCTCCACACAATGAGGAGCAGGCAACTTTCTTCTCATCCTCACCAATATACCATGGAAAATGCCAGCAAATAAAATTTAAACACGACTAACAATTTAAACATTACATACAGACACAGAAAAAGGAAGAAGAACATTGTGGCGACTCCTCCTAGACATGAGGACCCTGGTCCTCAGCCTGGGACCAAGGCAATTTCCTGGGCCTAAGCCTGAGATAGTGTCCATGAAGATGTCCTGTTGAAACTTTTGTTGAATGTACTCTCCCTCTTCCACATCTTTTAGAAATCTAAGTGCTTTCACAACTGCAGTATGGATAAGGCTGTCTTATACATTAAAATTAATTGTTCTACCTTAAGATGAACCTACCAGATTCTGAATAATAGAGTGTTATAGAAACTCAAGCAGCTACAGTGTCCACATAGTTATTAACTGTTTTGTTTTAGGCGATCAGTATTTGTGGTGTGGCAGAAGCAGAGGAGAGGAGAGTAGCAGAGTGAGAATGGGGTTAAAGGTCCCCATAGCATAAGAGGGGTCCCATGCTGCCTGGAAGCTAACTGTTTTCTTTGGCTGTCCTGGGCTGATTTGGATCTTTCATGTTCTTTCCCTCCAGCTGCCTCCAGGTCTCATCCCTGTAATGATCTGTAAGCTTTGGGCCACTCCTTGATCCCCACTTAGGGTTTATACAGTGCAGAACTGGGTGAAGAGGGAGTCAGGCTCCAAGCAGTACCTCTAACTCATAGGCATCCTTGCCCTGTGTGAGGGGTGAGCCAGCAGCCTCCCCACCAGCATCTCCAGTCAGCAGTGTCCGTAATCGTGCAATTTCCGCAGCCAGGCGGTTGTTCAGCTCCTGGGATCAGCAACAACAAAACATGGTTGCTCAACAGAAATTCTTGGGGACCTCAATCAGGAGAGGTTGCTCTCTTATAACACTAAGCAGAAATGAGCAGACACAGGCAGCCATGAGCAGTGCTTGTACACACTATAGCTTTTTAGGTTTAACATGTGCAGGTATAACAGCCTGCAATTTATATCCCTGTAGAAGCCATCTGTGTGGCACTGTATTTTGTAGAATTATGTATTCAGGGTTCCACTATCCTTGATACCTTTTTATCACTATTACTAGAGCTAATCTGTGTTATGATTTGTCCCATTTGAGCTTCTATACAGGTTCTCTATACAGGTCCTAGGTTCTCCAGCTTCCCTCCCACTCACTTTCTCTACCTTCTTTCCAACTGACAAATGGTCATCAGGCCACTGCGGTGACTAAGTGGAAACAGTCCTGCTGCAGTGCCCTCATACAGATTGGCCATGGGCCTGTGGAGGCCTTGCACCTAAACCATGCCAACATGTCTGTTTGCTCAGTGCCTGGGGATGTGAGCAGTGGGTTGTGAGGATGGTGCTCCAATTTGGTACCCACAGAGCTTTTATCAAACTAAAGCTATCTCTAGTCTATTCATTAGCCAGGATTTTAAATGCACCCCAATTTTCTGAGAAGTAGGCAAATTTTGAGAATACCCTGACAAAAATAAATGTGAGCAGTATATGGTCTTGACTAAGAGACATTTATACCTGGTCCTAGACTTGGGGACAGGAAACCTGGACTGGGTACAATGACCCTGCCAGGCCCTACTAAGCAACAACAAAGCAGAAATTCAGAGACACTCAGAAGAGACTGAGACATCTTAGAGTCCAAGTGTAAACACCTGGTTCATGTAGCAGAACAGCCACCACTCTAGCATCTGCAGTGAGTTTCTGTCAACACACTGGCAGATGTCAGATGTTGGGGTGGTGCTTGTAGAGAGTTGGGGACACCCTGAAGTTGAGGCGTGGCCCCTAGCTTGAGCATGGGCTCACCTGATTGTGGGCGTTGAGCTCCTGGTTCTCGCGTTGGCACTGCCGTAGGGCCTGCCGCTCAGCCTCTAGCGCCTGGGCGAGGTGGGCATTCTCCAGGCACTTCTGTGAGTACTGCTCGGAGAGGACCTCCAGCTCCCGCTGCACCGACTGCAACTCCTCCCTGGGGACAGAGCACCAACTCACTCCTTTGTCCCCTCCCCACCCCAGGGCCTAAGCCTCTACAGGTTCTGTGTCCCCACTGTGAAGCTTGAGGGGCAACAAGACAACAGAAAGAACTGTTGAGCAACACAGAACAGGCCTTATGCATTTTGTTTCTCAAAAAGTTTGTACCCAACTGAAGAGAAAACTTAAAAAGTACTTCAAGTTTACAGAAATCTATTCTGTGCCCTTCCCTCACCCTCTTTCAAGTAGCTTAGCAGTCCAACAGACAGAGCCTCTCTTGTGAAGTCAGGAGAGAATTCATTCACTTGTGCTAAAACAAATGTCTTGTTTCTGAGAGAAGTCAGATTTGCACTTTGTTTCAGCTCTAACTTCTGAGGCAATATTTGTCTGATAATGCAGTCCCAGACTCTATTAATCCAAAAAAAATCAAAGCATCAAGATGATGTTCTCTGTCACTCTAAAATCTCTGAGCAGGGCTGGATGTCCCATGGGTAGAGCTGAGGATATGGGGCATCAGGCCAAGGCATCTAGGCCCTGCACACCGTCACCACCCCCTCCAGCCAGGATGAGCATGACAGCAGTCCACAGGAGGCCACCCACTCAGCCCTGGCTCTGACTGCACTAAATGGGAGCCCTGGAAGAGGCAGGGACCTCAATTGTTTTATATTACAAAGCTGGCTCTGCATGACTTTCACAGTGACCAATTCAAGAGCTCCAAGTAGTGGTAGGTCTCAGAAGGAAAAATATAAGCAGCTATGCTGCTGTATTCCCTCCAGTCTCTTGCTTATAAAAAGGGAATCAGCACACGTGCTTTTTAAAAAAACATAGGGCACATGGCCACTTCTGCAACACAGTCATAAAGCGTCAAGCATCAGGCCCCAGACCGGATTCCTTTCTCGCAAGCTACTGAGGCGGCAGCAGCTGATGGATAGAGTGAATTCTGTGCATGGCCTGAGAGGAGTCCTGAAAAAGGGCTAATAGTTATAAAATTTCCTTTCCTATACTTCATTCTCTAGAGTTTGATAATCAGTTTCTATTTGTTTTAGTAACAGGATGACCGTGGGCCATGAGAACCAGTGGCTTACTGACCCTCAACAGCACTCAGCCCCTCTGGAAAAAAGGCTCTGAGCTGCCCTCAGTGCCCATGGGCCTGAGGAAACCCCTCAGGAACCCCATCTGTGTGGCTCCCATAAAAACACAGGAAAGGCACCCTTTCCCATCTTAAAGGCCACCCTCCAGACCCTCCCAAGGGCAGGAAACCAACTTACAGATACTGCCGCCGCAGGGCCTCGATGTCTGAGTTGATGCTGCTGATCTGGGACCGCTGGCTCTTCTCCAACTCGCGCTCCATTTCCTCCCGGTGGGCATTCTTCATGGCTTCAATGGCTGTGGGCAAGGACATGGCCATCAGCACTAACAGCCTGGGGGGCCATATAAGACAATATAACAGCTCCCCACAGTTACTGCTTAACCCATTGTAATCAGGCTGCCTCTCCCAAAATCATTCTCTAGGGTGGATACAGGTGCATTTGTTCTTTTGATGTTAAATGAAGACCAAACTGATTAAATAAATGTCAATGTTAAATTCAAGCATGAGTTTATAAAACAAGCAAGCTTTTAGGTTAGTTTATTTTCCTTCTGGGTACTAAAGCAATAAACCACTGTAAAGTATAATTACATAAAGGGAGGGCAACACAAAAGCAATGGCACTGTGTTTTCTCAGGACACAGCGCCATTTGATTTGTACAAAGATTTTTTTTGTAGGTAGAAGCTATGGTCTGACGTTGCAGGCCACACTATGCAGAGGTCTTATGCTGACAGGTGCCTGTAAGCCAGAGGGGAACGCCACCAATGGGGCTGACCAGGCTGGGGAGTCACACATGTAACGGGGTGTGATGGAGGTCAGCGAGCTGGAGTGGTGGCTTTAGGCTTGCAAGCTCTGAAAGAGCTCGTAAAACCAGCCTTCTCCACAGAGAGTACTGTCAAAGAAAAATCTCAGGGGAGAATCCAGGATGGTGGTGGGATAGGTGAAAATTACACTAGTATCATTCCCAGTCCAAACTGGAATTAAATTAAAATATAGAACAAGTAACCTGAATAGCTGACAGAACACTAGTCTTATCACCAAGGATTTGCAGAAGTCACACTGAAACTGATAAGAACAGCTGAGATTCGAGAAAAGCTGGTCCTGCACCCATGTGCGGCTGTTGAGAATTTGGAGGGATATCTCAGCTGCAAAGGTCCTCCTCTGAGGTGTAATGTCTCAACCCTATGTCAGGCTCCCAAGCCCAGAGCACCAGAGCCGGGAACTGGAGACCATATAACATCTGGCTGTGAAAATCAGTGGGGATTGTGTCTGCCAGGGATAGAAAGGAGTCCGCTAGAAACCCAGCACCCTCTCTCAAAGGCCAATGTACAAAATCTAATCAGTGGCTATTCACCCTGGTGTCTGGCAGAGGGAGAGCAGATTGTAGTGAACTGGACTTATGTGAGGACAGACTGGGTTGGGTGGCTCCAGGGAGAAAGCAGAAGGAACAGCTGCCAGGGTCCCTGTGCTGAGTCCCTCTCCCAAGGGCCCACAGATGCCATCTCTCCTGGGCTGAGCACTCCCCTCCCTACAGCATCAGCCTACAGGAATGCACTATAACTAGCCCCACCCTCTGACTCCCTGTCCTCCCACCCTGCTGATCTCATGACTACTGAGGATTCAGCTGCCTTAGTCCATGGCATGTAGACTTTTCTGAAGGGCTCTTAAGGCTGAATGTAAGGCAGCCTTACGTGACAGAGACTGAGTTGTATGGCTCTGGAGCAGGGACCATCCCCCACCCCCAAGATCCACTAGCTCCATTCTCACAATTGCCCAGAGCCTCATCTGCCAAACTCATACCCTGCAAAAATAGTCAGCTGGCTATGGCCAGCCTGCACTTTGGTGCAAACTCTCTTGGAAGACTCTCAAGGAGATATGGACAGACTTAAGGATAGACTAAGTTGTGTGGCTCTAGGGTTCATGCCCAGGATAAGTAGCAGCCATCTGCAGACTGCTTTGTAGTTTATGCTGAGTGGCAGATGACGTTTGCCAACACCCCTCAAGAGGCCCCAGAACCAGCACACTTGTCAGACAGCTTCAGACTAACCACCTCCACAAGCAACACACTCAAGGGCTGAACTTGGTGGGTACCTGAGCCCCAGTGAAGTTAGTTTTACTCTAAGAGGGTAGAACTCTCTACAGCAGACCCTCCATGGTGGTTGTAGTCAGTCCTACAGCCCATTGGCCTAGGGGTAAATACCTTCTATTGATGTGACATTAGTGAAGGCTCAACTACAACAGAGAGGGTATACACAGGCTCCTGTGACAAGGGAGGCTGTGCCACAGGGCCCTACAGGACACCTACTTCATTCGACCACTCTACCAAGATTGGGAGACATAGCAGCTCTACCTAATATGTAGAAACAAACACAGGGAGGCTGCCAAAATGAGGAGACAAAGAAACATGTTCCAAAATGAAAGAACAGAACAAAACTCTAGAAAAAGAACCGAACAAAACGGAGACAAGCAATCTACTAGATGCAGAGTCCAAAATATTAGTTATATGGATGTTCAATGACCTTAGGGGAACAGGAGATGTACTTAATGAGAACTTCAATAAAGACACAGGAAACATAAAAATGGAGATAGAAAACATAAAAAAAGAACCTTACTGAAGAACACAGTAACTGAAATGAAGAATATGTTACAGGGCACCAAAAGTAGGTAGAGTAGATAAAGCAGAGAATCAAATCAGTGATTTGGAAGATAAGGAGGCAGAAAACACCCAATCAGAAGAGCAGAAAGAAAAGAATCCAAATACTGAGCATACTGTAAGGAGCCTCTGAGACAACTTCAAGTGTACCAACATTTGCATCATGGGGATACTAGGAGGAGGAGAGAGAGAGAGAGCAAGGAATTGAAAAGCTATTTTATTTATTTATTTATTTATTTATTTATTTATTTATTTATTTATTTAAAGATTTTATTTACTTATCTTTAGAGGGGAAGGGAAGGAGACAGGGAGAGAAATATCAATGTATGGTTGCCTCTCATGTGTCCCTGCTGGAAACTGGCCTGCAACCCAGGCATGTGCCCTGACTGGGAATCGAACCGCCATCCTTAGGTTTGTAGGCCTGCACTCAATCCACTGAGCTACGCCAGCCAGGGCAAAAAAAAGCCATTTTAAAAAAATAATGGAAAACTTCCCTACCCTGGTGAAGGAACTAGATATACAAGTCCAGGAAGCACAGAGTGTCCAAAACAAGATGAACTTCAAAAGGTCCACACCAAGAAACATCATAATTAAAAGCCAACAGTTAAAGACAAAGAGGGAATCTTAGAAGCAGCAAGAAAAAGCAGTGTACCTACAAGGAAGCTCCCATAAGACTGTCAGCTGACTTCTTAACAGAAACTTTGCAGGCCTGAAGGATTGGCATGAAATATTCAAAGGGTTGAAAAGCAAGGACCTACAACCAATACTACTCTCTCCAGGAAAACTATCACTTAGAATCAAAGAACATATAGAGTTTCCCAGACAAGAAAAAGCTAATAAACAATTTCACCACCACCAAATCAGTATTATAAGAAATGTTAACCAGTCTTCTTTAAGAAGAATGAAAGATCAATAATATGAATAATAAAGTGGCAATAAATACCTGTCTGCCAATAATTATTTAAATGCAGATTGATTTAAATGTTCCAATCAAAAAGCACATGATGGCTGAATGGATAACAAGACCCTTAAATAAGCTGTCTACAAGAGACTCACTTAGGATTGAAAGACACACACAACTGAAAGTAAAGATAGAAAAGATGTTTCACTGAAATAGAAATGTTAAAATAGAAGCTGTAGTAGCAATACTTATACCAGACAAAATAAACTTTAAAACAAAGGCTATGACAAGAGAAGATAAAAAAGACCCAGCAATTCTACTTCTGGGCATTTATGTAAAGAAGCCCCAAACCCTAAATCAAAAAGATATACATGCATCCATATGTTCACTGCAGCATTATTTACAATAGCTAAGATATGGAAACAACCTAAATGTACATCATCAAATGAATGCATAAACAAGTGGTGCATATATACAATGAAATATGATTCATCCATAAATAGAATGAAATCTTACCATTTGCAACAACATGGATTGGAACATGGTATTGTGCCAAATGAAGTAAGTCAGGCAGAGAAAGAAAAATGCTCTATGATTTCACTTATACTTGGAATCCACCCCCCCCCCAAAAAAAAACCCAAACCGAAACAAAATAAATGAACAAGCAGCAGAAACAAGGCTCATAGATACAGATATTTAAGGTTGCCAGATGTGAACAGGTTTAGGGATGGGTGAGAAAAGAGAAGCAAGTAAGAAGTACAAATTGGTAGTTATAAAACAGTCATGGGGATATAAACTACAGCACAGAGAATAAAGTCAATAATATTGTAATAAGTCTATATGGTGTCAGATGGGTACTATAGTCATCAGGGTGATCACCTCATAAGTAATAATCACAGGGCTATACACCTAAAACTAATATAATATTGAACACATCAACTGTTATTAAAAATTAAAAAATATTTTTTAAAAAACCAAAAAGACAACTGACTGATTAGGAGAATATATTTGCCAATGGTACATCTGATAAGGGGTTAATAGCCATAATTTATAAAGAAATCAGACAACTCAACAACCCAAGGAAACAATTCATTTTAAAAATAGTCAAGGGACCCTAAGTGACTCTTCTCCAAAGAGGACATACAGATGGTCAATAAACATGAAAACATGCTCAATGTCACTAATCATAAGAGAAATGCAAATTAAAACCACAATGAGATATTATTTCAACATGTCAGAATGGCTAGCATCAATAAATCAAAAACCAAACAAGTGTTGTCAAGTGTGTGAAGAAAAAGGAACCCTTGTGCACTGTTGGTGGGAATGCAGACTGGTGTAGCCACTGTGGAATACAGTATAAAAGGTCTTCAAAAAATTAGAATTGGAAGTTCTTTATAACCCAGTGATTCCACTTCTGGATATTCACCTGATGAAATCTAAAACACTAATTCATAAGATATATGCACTGCTATGCTCACTGCAGCATTATTTACAATCGCCAAGATATGGAAACAACCGAAGTGCCCATCAATAGATGAGTGGATAAAAAAGCTGTGGTATGTATATACAATGGAGTATTAGTCAGTCATAAAAAAGGAATGAAACCTTATTGATTTCTGACAACATGGATGGATGTAGAAGGAATTATGTACTAAATGAAATAAGTCAGAGAAAGACAAATACCATATGATTCCACTTTTATGTGGAACCTAAAGAGCAGAATAAACAAACAAAAATGAAACAGACTCATATATACAGGGAACAGACTGATAGTTGCCAGATGGGAAGGGGGTTGAGGGACTAGATAAAAAATGTGAAGGGATCATGAAACACGAATTGGTAGTTACAAAATAGTAACAGGATATAAAGTACAGTGTAGGACATATAGTCAATAATAATGAAATTACTATGTACAGTGCCTGGAAATATCGGGGAATCAACTTATAAAGTATAGGACTGCCTAACCACTATTCTGTACACTTGAAGTTAATACAAAATAATATTGAATGTAAACTGTAATTGAAAAATGAAATTAAAGAAAAAAGAATTAGATTATGAAGCTTAAATTTCAAACAGAAGACAGCACAAAGACCAATCACTACTCTAAGCTGTACATTCAGCTCAGGAATAAGTCGTCCACCTGTCCTGCCCTCTGGGTTAAACTGGCCACCGTGCCCAGTTCCCACCTGAGATGGTGGCCGCAGTTTCCTCAGCCAGGAGACGGTCTTTCTCTTCCCGCAGTTTCTCCAGTTCCCGCTGGTGCTGCCTCTGGAGATCTTCAATCTTTTTCTGGTGTGTTTCCTCCATTGCTGCAAACCCACGTTCGCATGTGGCCTGCAAGATGCAAAGGGGACTTTATCCTTTGTTTCTTTACCTTTGAGTTGGGCGTCCTGTTTAATAAGTCAGCAGCTCTGCCTGCTCCAGAAAACACACTCTCTGAAGGCAAGCACTGAGCCAGTGGAGTCACTGAATGGCTGTCTGGAGACTTTCACTGATGATACTGAGCATTTATGCTATGAAAGCAGTTACAAAGGGGTGCTTACATCTATAAATTGTCTTATTTCTGTGACCTGAATCCTGTGAAAAGCTGGCATTGTGAGTGGCAAGAGGCTGCAGTAGAATCTAAACTAGCCAATCCTGGGCCTTGATAGAGTTACTGCCAGGGAGGACTGACGAGAGGGAGAGGAGAGTGAGTGTGCGGAGGCCGGCCCTGTTTGGTTTGTTTACGCAACAAATAGCTCTCAGCACCAGTGCATTTCACAAATAAGCCATACTCATATGATTTCATCAGCTGGAGTGCTCCAAGGGGCCTGGCCCTGCCACCCTCTAGCTGGCTACCCTCATGTGGTCATTGAACCTCTCTGGTGTCTATGAGGGAATTACATTAGGCTATATGATCTCTTCTCTTCCACCCTGCATTTTCCCTCTTTTTCTTTTGAAGTACAAACAGGGGGCACAAATTAACTAGTGACTGTACTAACTGTATTAAGACACAGAGCAGAAAAACTATTCTCTAAACCTATATATGTCTCATTACAACCTGTGTTAGTTTATTACCTGGGCCTGCAGGGGAAGGACACAGGTATGGCCCTAAGAAGGGACTGAACCATCCCACAGCTACACTGGGAAGCCCAGGCCTGGCTTACCAAAGTTGCTCTTGCTGGGCAGATGAGTGTCCCACATAGATGCAAAGAGGTGGTGTGTATAGCTGTTTTGTGCACGAAGTCACACTTTCTGCCTAAATTCTTTGCAAGATCTGTTTCTGAATAAGGATCAGGCCTTTCAGTGATTTTTTTTTTTAAGTGGAAGCATGTGGCCATGTTACATTTATAAATGCAAGTGTAGTGGAGTCTTCCTCCTTCTAACCCTATTATTATTTGGTTGATCTTCTTGCACATGGATTCAAGAAAAAAAAATACCAAGAAATCAAATTACCATGCTTGGCTGTCTTTAAGCCCCCACAGTAATTGTGAGGCCCTTCTGAGGTTCTCAATTCAGTATTTTCAAACTCATGGTCACAGTCTGGACCTCACTGCCACAGATCTGTTGTACTGGGCATATGGTTTCAACTGTTGTTCACTATTAACTGGGCACTACTTCTCCCAGAGGCTGTGCCTGGAAGCCAGTGGTCTCCTTTCACCACCAGCACACAAGACAGCTGGGGGAATTCTGGTGCTGTGTCTCCTGGCCCCTCACCTGCTCTCCGCCCACCATCTTCTCTCCTGTGTGGTTTGGTTCACATATGGCTTCTTGGTTAACACACAGCTAGAAGGTCTTGTAAGTATTAGTTTGATTTGAGTGCTTTAAAATATTTACATGATGATAAAATTCTTCCTACAGAAACTCTGAGGTACCTTTAAAGACTAGTTGCTTCCTTGGAGAGCATATGTGTTCAAAATAATTTCTCTGCAAACAAATTTTGATTTTTAAGCCAAAAATCCCTGGGATCAATGAAAGTTCCTCCATGACTACTGTGCAGAATCACAAGGGAAGGTTTCAGCCTGTGGCTGTGGCAGAGGGGCCATCAGGCCCAAGCCTCAGGCTCTCCAACCCAGACAAAAAGCTGCAAAAAGTAACAGCATTAGCCAGGTCCTTTCAAGAGTTCTGTCTGGTTCTAATTTCTGTGTGTTCAAGGGTGTCAATGAGAACACCATGGTCCTATGTCACCACTGAGGGACACTGGGTCCTGGCACCATCTGTGGCCAGTATTCTCTTTTCTGATATCTTGCTAACTGGGGTGCGAGGAAACCACTTTGGCCAAAGACTTATGTAAGCCCAGCTGACTGATGTGGGAGCTGAAACAGCCTCACTGTGCAGGAGGCTCTGGTGGAGCAAGCAGTCCCTGTGGTGGGGAATGAGCACTCAGGCCCTTGTGGACTCAAGATGTGTAGGTGCCCCCTTCACAGCCTGGAATGCCACCTTTGAGTACCAGGACCTGGTTATTCTGCCTAATGGTGTAGGAATGTGAAACAGGGTAAGGGTGTGGAGGACAGTGACAAGAAAAGTGTGATTTCTCAAAGTTCCTAAGAAGGAACACCAGCAGCTGAAAGTTGCTCTTATATTCCTGACACAGAATGCCCATTAAATGCCAGTTCCCCAGAGATTTGGGGTGGGAGAGTAAGTAACTCTCGACAATGTATTGCAAATATTACTACCTTTTGGGAACCACAAACTCTGTTCTCTTAGGAGAGTTAAGAAGACAGTTCTTCAAGAGTGCCCCTGGACTGTCTATCCTGGGTTGTTTTCCTTAAGGGTGGGTTTGCACCAGCTTGGAGGTGGGGGTGGGAAAGAGGGTGAGGCTGTGAGGGGCTGAGCAGGAGAGCAGGGGCTTCCCCTGCTGGGGGAACACAGAGAGGTTTCTAGAAGTAGGTGGAAAGGCTATGGGGAGACTATACTTCCTCTCTCACCAGTGATCCGGTTCTGCTAGTTCTTTCCTGGTAGGGGATATTGAACAGGATGCTAGACCCTAACCCAGGGCATGCTCTGAGGCCACACCATGGTGAGTGAAGAGTCAAATACACAGAATGTTGACCACATTCTGCTCATACAGTAACTCAGGGCCAAGAACTATCTCCCAGCTCCACCCTGAGAGTCCGATGCACCAGACACTGCCCCCCAACAAGCAGGCAAATGCCTGCCTCTTGACTGCTTTACAATTAAATGATGCTTCAAAACCTTAAGGTTCTCAAAGTCTTTCTGGTACTTCTCCCGCAGTGTAGCTGTGTTGCCCTCCAGGTCCTTGTGCTCCAGCTCCTCCCGCATGATGTCCATCTGTGCCTCCAGCTCCTGGATGCGCTCTCTCAGCCCTGTCATGGAATCAGTCTCCCCAGTGGCCACCTGCAGGGACTCCTGGGGCTGGGTGGCTGGCCAGGTGGAGGTGGGCAGCTTGTGGGGGCTGCTAGCCAGGAGGGCTTCCGGGGGCCGCCCCTGGTAGTGGCAGAGTCTCTCCTGCAGGCACTGGAGGTTCTGGGAGTAGTGCTCCTGCAAGATCCTCAGCTCTTCCTCATGGATGGTCTGTAGCTCTTTGACCTTAAGCTGGAACTTGTCCTCCAGGGTCTGCATCTGCTCCACGTGGTGCCTCTCTAAGTCCTGCCTGTCTCTGACAGAGGCATCCAGCTGACTGAGGACTCTGCTGTGCTCAGCCTGCAGTGTATTCTCTGCTCTGTTCAACTGCTCCACCACACACCTGATTTCCTCCTCATACCTCCCTTGCAGGGCAAACATGTTCTCGCTGTGCTTGCTTTCCACTTCTTCCAGGTACTTCTGCTGATGGTCTAGCTGGGTGACCTGGGCCTTGAGCTCTGCATTTTCCCTTTGAACGATGGCAATCACTTCTAGGTACTCGCTCTTCTGCTTCTGGAGAAGTTCCTTGTATTCCTCCCTCAGGGCCCCAACAACCTGCTCGTGCTCCTGACAGGAGGCCCCTGTGCTCTGCCAGGACTCCTTGTAGCACTGGAGCTCCTTTTCATACTCCAGACGGATTTTGCAGGCTGCATAACACACTTGTGCCTGAATAATTGCATCTTTAACTAATAATGAAGAATATTGACCAAGGCCTCCCAAATAAGTGTTATAGGAAAGATTTTGGGACACCTGAAGAAGCTTCTGACAATCTCTTACTGATTCCACAGTGGGAAGAGAAGTTAAAGAGGCAGATATATCTCTTAAGAGGCTGGCCTTATCTTTAAGCTGCAGGGCGAGTTCTTCCTGAATAGCAACGAGGGTCCCAGAGCTCTGATCAGACAAGGGAAAGGGTTCCTGGGAGCTGGCTACATCTCGATGACTCAGTTCTTCTCCTAATGAGCTCAACTCCCAGGATACCTGCACACCATCTGCAATGCCTGCTGAAAGCGAGAGGGCTTCCGAGACCTGCTGCATCACTTTATCAAATTCAGGGGTTTGGTAGGTTCCCAGGATTTCCCCCAGCATGTGCTTATGCTGCTGCAGGGCCATCTGGGTCCCCTGGAGAGTCTCCTGGATGCTCTGCAACCGACGGTGGAATGATTCCCTCAATGACTGCACAGCAAAGCTGAGCTCCGCCCTGACCCATGTAGCATCTGCCAGGGCAGGGACTAGGGCTTGTGGGATGCTCTGCTGCCCACCTCCTGATACACTGGCCGCCTCTCCTCCCACCATCCCCAGGTGCTTACTCAGGGACTCAACCTGGCTCCAGAATTCACCATCCACCAGCACTTTCTTAGCCCAGGTGTCTGCTGCAGCCCCAAGACAAACTGCAGCACTTCCAGACTCCAGAGGCAACCTCCCTGACTGAGAAATCTCATGGAGAACGCGTGAGATATCTGATGTTGTGTTTTTTAAAGAGTCTGCTATTTGGTTTATCAGTGAGGCTTCCAGAGCTATTTGATCAGAAAGTAGCTTAAGCTGCTCCTGCTCAGTTAGTTCAGGCAGGTGAGGTGGCTGCTGCAAAGTCTCTTTCCCTTTCTCCAAGACGCTCCCTTCCTCTAGCTGAGCATGGGCCCCGCTGTCTGCAGGGGCTGGCCAGTGATGTAGGGCCTGGATGGCGTGGACTAACACTCTCTCCATGCTGGCCAGGGGGCCCGCTCCTGCCTCCTGTGCTTCCTCCTGGCCAGACCCTGGCAGAGATCGTAATTGTTCGCGGCAATTTTCCAAGCAAGCCAAGGCCTGGGTGTTTTTTACCTGGAAATTGCCAAGTTCTCCGACGTGATTTTCAACTATCTTTGCCCTAGCCTGTTTTTCCTGCTCCAGCTGGGAGGCCAGCATGCCAACCTGGAGTAGGCTGGCACGGAGCTGCTCTCGGAGCCTTGCCTCAGTGCTGGCCCACTGGTGGTGCAGCGTGAGCAGAGCCTCCTGGCTCTGGCCCTGCTGGCTCTCCAGCTTCACTGTCACATCTTTGAGCTTCTCTTCTGTGATGTAGAGCTTGGTCTCCAGGGAGTGTATTATGGAGAGGTAGGTGTCAGAATCACTGGCTGCAGGAAGAGAGCTCAGGGTGGCCTCTGATGACATGCTTTCCTCTGAGGGTGACCGGTCTTGACTAGTATCAGAAGATGTGCTACTGGTCCAGGTTTTCTCGGACCCATCAGCCTGGGTGTATTTCTGGCACTGGATTGTAGAGAACCGGATTCTTTGCCTTTTCACGCTGGGTACCCCCTGCTCACATTTTGCTGTGTTCTTCACGTGCCCCTCCTTGTTGGGCACTTCTGACTTTGGGGGCATCATGCTCACTTCTGTCCTAGGGCTGCTGTGCCTATGTTTCTCCCTAAGAGCAGCCCCTGGGTCGTCCTCCTCGAGCCTCAAGGGTGGGAAGCCTGGAGATGAGCCTGAGGCTTGGAGCTGTGGGCCTGAAAGTGCAATGCCATCCTCCTCTGCTTCTTCCAGGGAGCTCTGAAGCTCCTCAACTTCCTCTAATGATGCCTTTGTAAACTTCCTTAAAATTTCTTCCTTTGTCTGGAGCTTCATTTCTGTTTCCTCTAAGCTGCTCCCCAAGGCAACCATTTTAACCAAAGCCTCATTGAGGTCCTGATCTTTCTTTTCCAGAACTTTCTCATGCATTTCCTTGATGTGCTTCAGCTCTTCCTCCTTTTCTTTCAGCAGAGTGTGCATGTCCTGGAGCTGGCTGGCTACTCTCCTGTAGGAGTGTTCCAGGTTCTGGTAGTCTGCCTCTCTTCCCCTCAGCTTCTTCTGAAGCTCAGCTATGTCCCCATCAGACAGGGCAATGCGCTCCATCAGCTCCTGGAAGCGTTGCTTGATCAGGTCCCGCTCGTCTCTGAGGCTTTGGACATGCTCAGCCAGCTTGTGGATGCTGGCCTCCTTTACCTGTAGCTGCTCCTCCAGCTGGTGCATGGCCTCGCTGCCCTCAAACCGGGCACTAAGCTTCTCCTTCTGGAGGAGCTCCATCTGTCGTTCGTGGTCCTGGAGCTGGTCCTCATAGGCGCTAGCCTTGTCCTCCACCTGCCTCAGGTTCTGCAGCAGCACCTGCTTCTCTTTCTCACAGCTCTCCAGCAGCAGCTCATAGTTCCTCTGCAGCTTCTCCTCCATTAGCCGCTGGGCTTGCTCACTGGCGCTGAGCTGCTGGCTGAGATCAGTGATGCGCTCCTGCAGCCTTTGCACCTCCTTCTGCCGGTCCCTCTGCAGCGCCTGTTGTGTCTCCAGGTACCGCAGTGCCTGTGTCTTCTCCACCAGCAGGGCCTCTGTGCTCTTAAGCTTCTGCTCACTGGCCTGAAGCTGACCGCTCAGCACAGCCTTGCTGTGCTTCCACTCCTCCAAATGCTCACGGACCTTGTCTTTCTCCAGTTTCAGGTCATCCTTGAGCCTGGCCAGTGCCTGTTCCTTGATGGTAAGCTCAGCGGCAGCATTACTGAGCCTCGCCTGAAGGCTGTGGATCTCTGTCTCGTGGTGCTGGACTGTGTCCTTGGCCTCCCTGTAGCTGCGCTTCGGGGCCTGGGTCTGCTGCGTGGTTAGCCCCTGGCGCCAGCACTGGACCTCCAGCTCCCTTTGCAGATCTTGATTGACTCTGTGGAGCCTCTGCCAGGCACCAGGTTGGGAGGTGGCCACTTCAGTCTTAAAAAAACCGATTAAACACTGGTTAGAAACACTCGGGCTTCCCAGTTCTGAGTGTCACACCTCTGGCCAGGGTCAACCACAGAAAAGCTCCTTGGTGGGTTTGCTGATAATTGTCCTTGGCACAATTTTTTTCATTAAAAAAATCCAACAAATCATCTTAATTATTTTGATAAGTGTTGCTTCCAGGTAAACAGAAAACATGAATAACAACATCAAAACGACTCTAATCAAATAGCTTCTAGGAGAAGTAACCAAACAAAAAGAATAATGGAATACACGGGTAAGCAAAAACAAAGACTGAGAACAAGAGACAGGAAGGAAAGAAGGGGGAGTAGAGCGCGGGCATCTGTTTGTTTTGCAAAACAAAAGGTACAAAGCTCTAGACAATCAACCCTAAAAAAGCACAGGAGGCAGGGTGTAAGTGATGACGTCACTTCCTTCTAGGACTGGAAGAGAAGGAAGGGAAGCAACTGCTCGGGAATGTCAGCAAGGTGACATCCGAACATTTTCCTTTTGAAGTGGAGCTCATCCTCTATAGTAACAGGAAGAACTAATCTCTACCTGTAAGAAGACAAAATGAGGGGAAAACAAAAACCATGGAGTAAAATATGATAATCAACAAAACAAACAAACCTTCATGGAGTTCAAATAAGACAGTGTGAAGAAGCATGCAAAAAGCAAAACACAAATGAAACAAAACTCCCCAAAAGGAAAGGCATTCAGACTAGACAGAACTAATAACATCGGGAAAAAAACAACATGAACAAAAGTGAGAACAGCCCAGCCTAAGAATTTGGCCTGCCTCAGTCTGCTGGGAAAGCCACAGATGTGACACTCAGTTATATTATTAAGTTACACTCCACTGCAAGTCCAAACCATGCAAGCTCCTCCTCCCATCACTGTTAGCACAGCACCCTTCCTGGGCAAACTCCTTCTGACCCTTAATCCCAAAGGTCCTTGCTCATTCTGACTTCTGATTACAAGCATTCCCAAAGTGTGAAGGGAGGTAAAAGCAACCTGCTATTAGATCTAGTGGGAAGGTGTTTAGAAGCCAGTTCTGCCCAGTGCCAGCTGATAAGGGCTTGAGTGCAGGATCATGCAATCATCCAAGTTAGACACAGAGGTAGGTTCTGAGGTTAAGATGTGCAAAATCTGCAGCTAGTATCTTTACCACCTGATGTTAAGTGAATTTGTGTGGGATGGCCCAACCAAGGTTTAAAAAGATGGTCCTCAGATCTAGCTAGAGGTTCCATACAAATCACCCAGAAAGCCCAGAGTGAGCTATGCATGAAAGACACCCACCATCACCAGCTCCTGGAGCACGGCAATAACTGAACTAGGCGTGGCAGTAACTATGGCAGAAAGGGCTGGAAAGGAGGATGCAGGGCACACAGGTGCCCAGAGCCACAGTCCAAGTTGGGGGAAATAAGAAATGGAAGAAAGAAAGAGAAAGCAACAAAAATGGCATGGATAGCAGCAGGAAGGCAGACTCTGCCTAGAGGGTTCACAGGGTACCCAGGATGACAAGGCATGATGATCTGGAAAATGTTGACACGGCAACTATTCATAGAGACGTGGAGTCATGGAGAGCTGGAAAGGCCCTCAGGGCAAGGTGTAAGTCTGCGCAATCTAAGAGAAGGTAATGCCGGTGGGGGACACCAGCTTGTGCTGGTCAGTGACAGAGCCTAGACTTAAACCCTGAACCCTGACTTGATAGTTGAGTCCTCAGCTTTGGCAGAGCCCTGTTCCATCACACTATTTTGCTTTCCCCCAGTACTCATTCGTTAGTTCTCTCCTCCCACCAGCATGTCACTCCACAGGGCAGGAGTGTGTTATTTTCTACCCCAGAATTAGAATAGGGCCTAGAATGCTGCAGGACAGTCAGCCTGCACCAGCCCACCCTGTCCAGCTGACCTATTGCCTGGGGAGACACCCCCAGCAGTGCTCAGTGGTCTCTGTGAATCTGCTTGCTGAGCAGGACTGTGGCACAGAGATCTCTGGTGGTGGATACTCGGTTTGGGCCCTCAGCTTAGGACCCAGGCTGTGGTTCTCCTAATCTCTCTTAAGCTGGCTCAGGGCTGGGTGGCCACATTTTCTCCCTAAAACTTCAGTCTACAAAGAAAGAAGTGGGGCCATTGGGCTAGTGGTAATAGCCTAGGTCTACCTGTAGGTATGGATAGACACAGATAGGGAAGGAGGACCCCTGCCATCTTTGCCACTAACTTAGTCATAAGGCGGCACTTGGTTGGCTGTTACTCAATTTCTTCAATCTGTAAAATAGGCCTATTGCTGTTTTTTTTTTTTTTTTAATAAACAACTTAGAAGTGACTTGCAAATGTATGGTATTTATAATAAATATATATTGGGTCAATTTGAGAGGGAAAAGAAAAAAGCCACCAAAATTATTTTATTAAAAAACAAAGGAAAACCCCTTAGATATATAAGTTTCAGGCTCTGAGAGCCACGGTCCTGGGGCAGAGGAGCCAGAGGATGACACTTGGGAGAGATGGCCCCTGCTCAGGCAGGTTTTGCACATTCCTAGCCTGTCGGGGTCCTTTGTATGGAGGTCCTGAGTGCATTTCGAGCACCAAGGTAGCCCCTCAGCCCTACCTGCAGCACATAGCCCTCCCGGGCACTCTGCTCCCGGCCCAGAGCCACTCTCAGTTGATCCTGCAGGAGCCGGTTTTGCTCCAAAAGGTCCGAGGCCTCCTTCTGGCTCTGCTCCAACTGTTGGCAGAAAGACATGCATTTTAAAGCACCATGATAGTAACAGACAGAAGCAGCAGTCCAGTGCAGGCCCAGAGTGGCATTTCTGGCATGAGCTGGGCTGAGCACGGAGTCCTCCCTGGCCTTCCAGAGGTCAGAGATGAGCTACTTTGTCCTGAAGTGCAGCATCTGGAACAGAAGCCTCCAACTGTTAAGTATATAATGTACTTTTTGGACCATAAGATGCACCTAGGTTTTAAAGGAAAATAGGAGAAAAAATTTTTGAAGCAAAAAATGTGCTTTAAATATTTAATAACATAAATAACATAATACTTCACCAATGTAAATGTAAACAAAACTCAACAGCAGCATTAACAACTATTATTCCTCCCAAATTTGGGGGGAGTGGGCGTGGGAAATGCATCTTATAGTCTGAAAAATATGGTATACATCTACAGCACAGCAGACCTGTGGACCTGTTACCCTGAATACCCACAAAATTTTCACACCAGCTTAAGGTTCCAGTACTCAGACCCCACCAGAAACTGAGGCTTTGTGTCAGTACCAGAAGGAAGATCATGCCACTGGGTCCTTCCTGCATCCTCAGCATGGTCCAAAAGTCCAGTGCTACCCTGGGCGAGCCTCATTCCAGGCCCTGCCTTGTTTCCCACTACAACAATTCTACTTGTTTTTATTTATCTTTAGAAGGGAAGAGAAGGAGAGAAATATCAATGTATGGTTGCTTCTGGTGCATCCCCTGATGGGAACTGGCCCCTGCTGGGAACTGGCCTGCAACCCAGGCATGTGCCCTGACAGGGAATCTAACCGTGATCTTTTGGTTTGCAGGCCCGTGCTCAATCCACTGAGCTACACCAGCCAGGTCTAACAATTCTACTTTTATACAATGAATTCCATGTAAAAGTCTGCAAAGAGGATTCCTGAAGTATTCCACAAGATGTGGAAAGTAAGCAAGCTACTTCACACACTTCTTGCGTTCAATGGTTTCAAATTCAGTTATTCATCTATTCATCTCTTCCTCAAACATTCCGTAGGTGTCTACTGGGCCACTTGGGCCAATGTGCCTGCCCCACCCTGCTCTGGAGGCTGCGGGAAGTCGGAGAGGTGGAGTGCAGTGGACAGGGGAGTGCTGCCAGGACGTGCTGTGAGAGGTGCGGAGAACTGACTTTCAGACACTGTTGCTTTAAATAAATGTATGGTTCAGCGTGTGGTCTGCTGGCCAGCAGGCCCATTTTTGCAGCTGAGAGCAGTGTGAGTTTGAACTTTTATTTACTGTATACTGTCTTAATTATCTTATTTACAAACATAAAAATGTAAATAAAAGTGTTCATGTTAGTGATAGATGTCAGCCTCATAAATCTAATAAACTAGGAAAAAGAAGAGAAGTGAAGGCAGACCAAAGTGACAAATCTTTAATTAGCTCATGTAAAAGAACACATTTGAACCATGAAACTGTTACAGGGGAGCTGCCAAGGGAGCTCCCTGAACCATGAAACTGCCAATGGAGCTCCTTAGCCAAAAACTCCCTTGCTCAGACTTATAAACCCACTGAAGTTCCCTAGATTTGGTTCCTGCATGTTTTCATGAAGAAACATATTATGCTTTAAATGCAGGGGCGGGCTGCTCATCTCTGCATCCAGATGCCCCGAGAGGCCTGCTCCACAAAAAGCCTCCAGAGTGCAGCCCATGCCAACTGAAGTAAGTTACAGGGCACCCTTCACCTGCTCACCCACCAAGGGCTTCTGTTTTATATTTTGAACATCCAGAATCTACCTACTTCTTGCTGCCTGCTCTGCACCCCCTCATGTCTCATTGAAGGTCATCAGGCTGCTAAGAAAGTACTGGGGCTCTTCCCTATCTCCAACTTTGACCTGTTCGACTCAAAGCTGCTTAGTGAGGATCAAAAATTAACTCTGCTCACGTTCCTCTTTAGCCTGAGTACACAAGGTCCCCACCTGGGCTCTGTAACCCTACTAGCCTCTTCCCTGGCCACCCCTGACTCTTAATGGCAGTGCCCTTGCCACATGGCAAACTACTCTGTCCTTCTGGAAAGGTCTGGTGCCCCCTGTCACCTGGCATTAGTTGGTACTTCCTGTACTTCTCACCAACTATACTGTACTCTAAGAACCTGTCTGCCCATGTGTCTATGTTCCTGAATGGTCTGCCAGCCCGTGAGGGGAGGGAACACGTCTTCCTCGGTGTTATGCAGCTGAACCACTCAGGGCACCACCAGGCACCATTGTTGCTCAGGAAAGGCTGCTATATGGAACCCACCCACCTGTCCACTTATGGCTGCCTCTAGTCATTACCTCCTTTTCCAGCAGAGAGGTCAGCTCATGATTGGAGAGCCTGTCACTTCTGTCCTCACAGGACAGGTGCAGAGGGGCAATGGGCACCTGCTTTTCTTCCCGTAGAGGGGTGGTCTCCACCTGATGCCACCGCTGTTCGATCTCCACATGGACGTTCTGTGTCTTGGGGTTGGGGGACACAGGCGGCCCCGGGCTCCGATCAACCTCCATCCGCAAGGCTGTATCGTCAGTGGCTGTCCCATCTACAGTGTCGAGCATCCCAAAGCGCTTGCGGCGTTCTTCCCGCCTCCGAGCACGTTCCCGCTCCAGCTCTCCTGACTCTGCCTCAGGGAGCATGTCAGGGGGCACTGTGGCACTGGCCCTCTCCTTAGCCAGGGCCTGCTGCAAGGGGCGGAACTCAGCCCAATCAAAGGTCTTGGATCGTCCCTCCCGTCTCCGCTCCCGAGCACGGCTCCTCTTCTGCTCAGGATCTGGCTCTCTGGGCTCCATCTCTTGCTTCTCACTTGACCTCAGGCAAGTCTCAAAGGAGGAGCTATTCCGGTTCTTCTCCTCAGGCAATGAGCTGGGGGCAGGGGGCAAACAGCTTATCAGGTATGACTCCTGGTATTCACACCAGCAGAGGGCCCCAGCTCCCTTGGGGCAGGGCAAGAAAGGACATTTTTTCATCATTTCCTCAGAGGGAATCTAAACTGAGTTCGAGTGGAGATGGGAGGAAAAAAACCACAGAAAGCCTAGAGGTTTCTGGAAGGAAGATATTACAATGGTCCCCCAACTGAGGAGATGCGATAGAGGAGTGTCATGATAGTCCTGTCACTGGGAAAATAAAGCACAGGGAGCCCCTACCCTGCTTAGAGCCAAGGTGGAGAGCCCTGACAGGCTGCACAAGGGACAGCCGCTGTCCAAACCCTTCATGAAGGAGGCTGACCCTGTGGCATGTACATACTTACTGGATAATGGTAACAGAATGAATGAGACCAAACATGTCTCTTGAAAGGACCATGAGTTTTTAACAAGCAGGGAAGGAACATGGTCAGGTCTGTGTTTTAGGAAACCCACTCTGGTGGCTGCTGTGATAGAGGAATAAGAGTGACAGGCCTGAGATAACCTGTGAACAAATCAGATACATTGCTCAGATGGCACCAAGGAGCACATCCCATGCAGCAGCCCACTTGACAGGTAGAGAGCAGGACCCTTGAGGGCACTTCTGCCTGCCCAGCAGAAAAGTCCATGCCTTTTCCCAATTTGCCTCAAAGTAAAGGTTCCTGAAGAGGAACTCACCTGGGTAGTGGTAGGGTGGAGGCATCAGTTATGGCGGTTGGAAGCAGGGTTTTACAGGCTCTATGGACTAATCCTGGAGACCCACAGCCTGAACAGTAGGCAGTGGCAAAACATAGAATCAGGAGCCACTAGGGGTTGCAAGGGAAGGTGGGGGCTCCAGGGAGCACCCGTGTTTAAATGGGGGCCAAAGAGAAAGGACTGAGTGAAAGAGGCACCCTAGGAGGAGAGGATGCAGGTGCCACCACCCGCTAGGCTGCCAGTCCCAGCAGCTACCTAAGTGAAAAATAAACTGCTGCAGAATGGGAGGACCTGTGTTTTCAATGTAAGCCATATGCATATTTGAATAAAAACTCTTCGGAAGAGACCCTTTGACGGCTCTGAACTGAGAGTTAGAGCAGGTTTACAGCCATATTGGGTAGTGGGATAACATGGAAAATCAGAAGCTGCAGAACCAATCTCTCCAACAGAGGAAGGCCCACCTGGGAAGAAGTCCCTTCCTGTCTTCCCAGAAAGGAAGCCCCTACAACTCCCTACCAGACACAAGGGGCCTACAGTGCCTGGCTTCACCTGGCACCTCTGATGTTTGTATCTGTTTCTAATTGTTCTTGGGACATAGCCTTGTAGCGTTAAAAAAACAAAACAAACTGATTTTCCACAAACTCTAAAAGCCCACATCAAATAAGCACAAAGGCTAAAACAAACTGGAGAAACAAATTACTCCAATAACTGTGAAGTAAATCCTAGTGAGAAAGACAGTTGTTACATCAAGCTTCCCACGGAAGCAAAAGGCCTACCTGCTGTGGACTCACAGTCCCTGCATAGAGCCAATACCCAAGTGTGCAAGGGAGACATGCATGCCAACCTGGGAGATACCACTTGTAAGCCATGTGTGCATGAAAGTGTGCCCTTTACACCTGTTCTGAGGCCAAAGCCACATGCCTGCCCTGAGACATCCCAAAGCTGACAGCCCCCAGACAGATCCTCAATCTGATGCACAGAGCCAGGCCTGGCTAGGACAGGGCAGCAGGTGACTACCACTGGATAGAAGAAGCCCTGACCTGAGGCCACCTGACTCTTGTGGGTCCGCTCGCCTCCCAGAGACCACACAGCAGCCTGAGCAGAGCAGCCTGAGCTGCCTGTCTTGCTTGGCTGTGGGGGTGTCCTCCAGGGCTCAGAAAGAACATTGGGCTTGTTAGGCTCCAGCCTTGCTCCTGAATGGGAGAGAGCTGAGGGGCAGCTGCTGGCTGCCAGCGGATGCAGCCCCATGAGGATGGGGTTACCCCTTGCCCCTGTACACAGGATGTGCTCCCCCAACAGGATACCACAGAGTGGGTCCTTGTCACCACCTAATGGTCTTACCAACTCAGGAACAACCAACTATTCTGTTTGTTAAATAATGAACAAACAATATGAATAAACAGAAAAGAAATGAAAGAATTATTATCTTGGGTTCCTTTCCTTTTTTCTTATCCAAAGAGGTACAGTGTCACTAAGAAGAGGCAAGGACTTCAAAAAGACTTAGGACTATCACAACTGCCCCAGGTCACCAGGGGGCACATGGCAGGTACCAGGGTCATCTGGAGTGTGACTTCCCCTGCAAGAAATACACTTGAGGAGTCTTTCAAACTACATGCCTACAAAGTGTCAATGAGAGTTCTCAGAACTGGCAAAGGCTCTGACACCTTCGCCAGTTCTGGTGCGTGCACGGCAGCATTCTGGGCATCACAGAGCCAGCTCCCCACACTGGAACCATGTCTTCATTCTTCTAAAATGAAACCCAGCCAGTTTCTAACCTTCAGGGTCAGAGGAGGAAGGCACACAGTGAATTACGAGATGTGTGAATTGAAGTGTGTTATGGTGGGGGATAGTTTTCCAACTTAGGCTCTGCCACCAAGAGTTTCAGAGAATTTTTCTCAATAGCACAGAAATCCAACACATGAAGGAGGTAAAAAAAAAAAAAAACACACAAGAAAAAGAAATGCTATTGTGGCCTATGGGTGCAGCTTCCAGTGAAGCCCAGTGCCCACACCCACTCCAGAGGGGCCTATCCCCTAAGTTCAGTTCCAATGGTGGCCCAAGTGATACCTGCGTAGCTCCACCAACCAGGCTCACAGAAGGAAAAAGCAACTAAACACAGAGAATCAGGAAACAAAGAAGAATGACTAGGGGCAGCCAGCAGTGGGACCAAGGAGGGAAGGAAGAAGGCTGCGCTGGGCCAGGCTGAGACCTCAGGTCCCCAGAAGAAGCAGCTGTTCATGTACAGGGGTGAGACAGAGGCCCCTGGGGAAAGTGGTTCCCTTGAATTTTACCTTGTCACATCAGGGGCAGAGGTCGGATGGACATGCTTCATGATGGTCTGGATCCAATTCCGCCGGATCCCAGACGTCATGGCAGAGAGGGTGAATTCGCCCTCCTTTGTCTACAGAAGAGACAAGGCATTATCAGTGACCACTGTCAATCTCTCCACCCCCCTTCTGCAGGGAGGATTTTGGCTAGGTGACCATTGTAGGAACACCATGTATTCCCTGCTTAGAATAAACCAGACCTGAAGAGCAAAGGAAACAGCAAAGCTACAGATGCTAATCTGCTTTTACTGTCAAGGCTAACTCAGGTATCTCCCTCTCTGGCAGATTCAGCAGGCATTTACTGAGTACCTACAATGTCCAGGCACTGAGGCGACTAACCCTGGGCCTTGTCTGGTGAGGTGGGGTGGTAGGAAAGAGGTACATGTCCCAGACAGAGGACGCAGGAAGAGCCTACCCCAGTGCCCTGCAGCTATGCTCACTGAGTGCACGGGCAATAAGGGAGAGGCCAGGCAGGTTGGGGTATGGTGGAGACCAAGTCTTCAAGCCGAGAAGAGGCAGGGAGGCCTGTTGGATGGGTAAGGGCAGTTGTCTAGAATTCAGAATTAAGGTGGTGACAGGACTGCGTAATGAAAAAGAGGGAGGGGGGCACTTCCAGGACAACCCCTAGGACCCGTGACTTAGATGAGCTGGTGGGACATCAGCTGAAACAGAGGAAACATGTTTATAGCTAAGGGGAATGCACAGACTGGGCGGGGGTGGGGGGAGGCCAGATGCAGCAGCAGAGAGGAGGCAGCGTGGCCCGCAAGGGTGAGGAGTAAAGAGCAGCCTCTGAGGCACAGTCTTTGTGTCTCCTGGGGGCACGGCAAGGTGCTTCCTGAGAAGGGGAGAGATGGAAAACACGGGAGGTGGTCTGCATGGAGTCTACTTCCCTGCTTCTGTATCTATAGACTCCTGTCTCCCAAAATGAGGGTGTCAGTCCTGTTCTTTAAGCTGCTCAGGCTACTCAAAAACACATTAGCAAATCAGCTGAGGGGAAGATGAAATTACCAAGACAGTTTTGGATTGGGTACTGACATGGCCAGGGAGCAAAACCACATACGGGCCTGGAGTACTGAAAGCACAGCTTGGACTTGACCTCATCCTTCACTTCAGGACCCCCCCAGCACGGCCCATAACTCATCTCTCCTTGGGTTTTCCCTTGCTGTATTCCTAGAGGGGGGCAATGGCTTCTGAGCTCTTTGAAACACTGGCCCCTTATGCCTTGGCCCTCCCTGTACCCCCAAAACCTGCTCACACTCGACATGGGGTCTTTTGCCTTCTCTCATTCCCAGAGGTGGGAGTTCCTATGGTCTAATCTCAGCAATCTCCACATTCTCCCTCAGGGACTCATCCCCCACCTCCAGCAGGTTCCTTCCCAACGGTAGGCCCACACTGTGGCTGCTTGTCTAATGTTTGTAGAAAGCCCACTGCAGCCAGAACTCCAGAGGTTCTACACCGAGTTTTAAGTGTACTCTTTTAAAAAAGACTATTTATTTATTGTTAGACAGAGAGGAAGGGAAGGAGAAAAAGAGGGAGAGAAACATCAACGTGTGGTTGCCTCTCACATACCCCCTACTGGGGGCCTGGCCCACAACCCGGGCATGTGCCCTGACTGGGAATCAAACCTGCCACCCTTTGGTTCGCAGGCCGGCACTCAGTCCACTGAGCCACACCAGCCAGGATGCTCTATACCTTTTGCCACTCACTGGCACACAGGATCTTAGCCCTGCCTTCTCCCTCATCTAGCCAAAGTCACTGCCCACATGTGCTTCCTCTACAGTGCTCCGTAGCCACCCCTTTTTCTGCCTACCACTACTGTGCCTGCCTGACCTCCTGCCTCTCTTCACCTCCTTTAACTGCTGCATGTCCTGTTGGATGTCTTACTAATGCACAACTACCTTGTGTCTTCCAGCACATTCCAGAGTATTCCACAATCTCAGGAGAAGACTGACTTCCAACTCAGGACTCCTGGCTCTCGTGGTGCTGCTCCGGCCTAGCTTCTGCACTCAGCTCCTTTGTAGGTACCATTAAGTTTGATGGCTGGGCTAGGGACATGGCACATTCATTCCTCCATCCTTGCCTCTCAAGAATTCAAAGCTGCTTAGTGACCAAGGCCAAGATCCCTCCAGGACCCACCCTTTCATGCTGAGAGCAATCTCTATGGACCTAGGTCTCCCTTAGTCCATGCAGCTCACAGAAAAGTGTCAGGACTTAGGATAAGCTCCTGCCCCAGGACAAAATGAAAAGGGTCAGACTGATGGTTAGGAGTACACTGCATGGTTCACACCCTAGAATAATTTACTACTCAGTGCTCACTTGCTGACTTAAAAAGCTACCTCTTACCTCAGATACCCTGCCCAGAGAAACCTGCTCTTTGACAAAAGGAGATCAGGATAAGGGAGGGGGATGCAGTATGGAGTCTACCAGGAGGCTCAGGATTAGCTCACTGAGCAGGTCTGTTCCTCCTACAGGGACCAGGAACAGAGGGGCATCATAGCAGGGGGTGGGGGTGGGGAGGTTGCTAAAACCCTAAGATTCACCAACTCATGCCCTGGGCCTCATGCCAGGCCATCTGTGTATATGACTTGGTACCCTACAGGAAGTACATGCCATTGCCAGTAGCCTGGTGGGTTGGTGGTGGTTAGACTTCTCTTTGTAATGAACACAATGGTGTTTGGGTGTGAACCTCAGTCTCCTTGAAGTTTGGTTAATATAAGTCAGTCTCAGTTGTGCCTGATCTACTGAGTCCAATGATAAAACTTAGTTTTTATACCCTGAGCTCTGAAGATAAGACCCTATTAAAGGTGACCCCACTGGAGTTATAGCCTCCTGTGAGAGACAAAGTCGTAGGGGCCAGCCCTTGCAGTGGCAGCCCTATCTGTCAGGCTGTTCTCTACCCACCACGTACTCACAAGGATCTTGTGAGGAAAGAATTAGCTTCGTACAAGGAGAGGACTGGTCTTTGCCCCAGCTCCTGAGCAGCAACCCCTGAACCCTTGTTACATAGGGTTGGGGATGGCTACACTATAAAGACCAGCCATAAAGTGAGAGGACTGGGGCTTTAGCCCCATGAAAATGAGCCGACCTCTGAGGGCAGGGCTGGAGGCTGTGTTGGACCCCGTGGACATGACTGTCAATCATGACAGTTGTGAAACCTCAATCAGAACTCAGGACACTGGGTTTCGGTGAGATTCCTGGGTGGGAAGCTCTGTGTGTCACTGCATAGCAACACCAGAAGGGCAACGTGTCCTCTGGGACACAGGAACCCTGGCGACGCTGCAAGCCTCTCTTCCTTTGGTGCTCCAATTGGTATACGTCTCTAAAATGAAACCACAGCTGTGCTCTTTGAGTCATCCTGACTCATTCTTGAATCTGAGGATGGTTTGGGGCACCCCTAAACTTGCAGTTGGTGTTAGAGTGAGAGCAGATATGGCAGTCAGGTGACTGTGTCCTAACCTTGACCCTGGCTAACTCTGGGCAGCCCTTGAGTCATAAACTTTAATGAAATGGCCAATGAGGATTGTCATATTTATTGAACCAGGTTATTTTTTTTTTGAGGGCAAGGCAATGACTTGCTTCTCTGAGTCCCTCACAAGGTTGCGGGGATGGGGGGAGACTTCATGAATTTTCAAACTCATGAATAGAAGAATAAACTAAAGAGTAAATGAATAAAAACCTACTGCTGAGATTTAAAAAATTAATACTTTCATTCTTATTTCCCGTACCTCACATATCCTTTCAACTGTCCCAAACTCCAGGATTAAATGAAAGAAAAAGAATCTTCAGTAACAAAAAGCTTCTACACAGTCTTGAAAGATGCTAATATCCAATTTTTGCTCAGATCACAAACTGGGGGTGGGGATCATATGCCACAGCACCGAGGACAGAACTGGACAAGACGCTGACACTGATGGGAAAAGAGCACCTCTTGACCATGCACATGAGGTCAGGCCTGCCCACCAGTGCCTGGACCAGGACATCAGGTCCTCAAAGATATATCCCAGCCAGTCAAGCCTGTGTGCCCCACCTCTGCACCCAAACTGTCCCCAAACTCCACCCCTGGGCTCACATGTATCTGAAAGCCATAATTTCTCTGGACTGGATACTCTGTGACACCATAACACGTAGACAAGTCAATTTCCCCATCCAAGTCAGCTGCCTGCAGGAAGAAAGAGAAAACCTTAAGAGATTTAGAAATGAAAGTCAATACTAAACAAACATGTTTTCATGAGTGACTTTGAGGGCTGGCCTTTTTCTTAGCGAGCATATACCCTCACAAGAAGTGAGGACATGCCTGGCCTTCACAGCCTGGACATACCAATGCCACCACTCTCCATGGGTATTCTGCCAAAGAAATTCCATGCTGATGGTTCTCTAACATACTCACATCAGAACTTCTTTACACTCTTAAAAACTGAGGACCCCAAAGAGTTTTTTTTAATGTATATTTTGATTATGCCATTACAGTTGTTCTATTCCCCCCTTCATTCCCCTTCACCCTGTACACCCCTCCCCCACCCCCCCTTTAGTTTATGACCATGTGTCTCAAGTTCTTTAGATTCTACATTTCCCATACTATTCTTGCCCTCCCCCCAATTTTCTACCTACCGTCTGTGCTACTAATTTTCTGTACCTTCTACCCCCTTCTCCTTCTCCCACTCCCCTGTTGTTAACCCTCCATGTGATCTTCATTTCTATGGTTCTGCTCCAGATCTAGCTGTCCTTAGTTTGCTTCTGTTTTAGGTGTGGTTGTTAATAACTGTGAGTTTGCTGTCCTTTCACTGTTCATATTTTTCATCTTCTTTTTCTTAGATAAGTCCCTTTAACATTTCATATAATAAGGGCTTGGTGATGATCAACTCCTTGAACTTAACCTTATCTGAGAAGCACTTTATCTGTCCTTCCATTCTAAATGAGAGCTTTACTGGATAGATCAATCTTGGATGTAGGTCTCTGGATTTCATGACCTGGAATACTTCTTTCCAGCCCCTTCTTGCCTGTAAGGTCTCTTTTGAGAAATCTGCTGAACAGTCTGATGGGAACTCCTTTGTAGGTGACTGTCCCCTTATCTCTTGCTGCTTCTAGGATTCTCTCCTTCATTTTCATCTTGGCTAATGTAATGATGATGTGCCTTGGTGTGTTACTTCTTGGGTCCAACTTCTTTGGGACTCTCTGAGTTTCCTGAATTTCCTGGAAGTCTATTGCCTTTGCCAGATTGGGAAAGTTCTCCTTTATTATTTGTTCAAGTAAGTTTTCCACTTGTGGCTGTTCCTCTTCCCCTTCTGGTACCCCTATAATTCTGATGTTGGAGCGTTTATAGATGTCCTGGAGGTTCCTTAGCCTCTCCTCATTTTTTTGAATTCTTGCTTCTTCATATTTTTCTGTTTGGTCATTTGTTTCTTCCTTCTGGTCCACTCCTTTGATTTGAGTCCCAGTTTCCTTTCCATCACTATTGGTTTCCTGTGCATTTCCCTTCATTTCAATTCATTTAGCCTTCATTTGTTCCTCTAATTTGTGACTAAAATCAATCAGTTCTGTGAGCATCCTGATCATCAGTGTTTTGAACTGTTCCTCTGATAGGTTGGCAATTTCTTGGTCGCTTAGAGTTATGGACTCTGGGGCTTTGAGTTCTTCTTAAGGCATGTTTTGATCTGTTTGTGTCTCTTACGTATGAGGAGTGGATCCTTAGGTGTTCACCAGGGCGGGGCCACCCAGGTCACTGGGTTGTGACGCTGTATGTGGGGGCGGGGTCAGAGAGGAGCAATATGGGTCCCCTCTGCTGCTTCCCGCCGATGAGGCCTGCGCGGTTTGTCTCACTGCTCGCTCCTTCGCCTGGTTTATCTGCACGTGAATGTGTGACTGCGATCAGCCTGCCACCTAGTGCCCTCACTGTGTCTGCCTGTTACTATCCCACACCTGGGATCCTCCCATGCTGCTTGCGTGCCTGGGTCATGCACCTGAGTAGGTCCAGTGGATCTTTCCTGCCCAACCCTGCTTCGCTGCTGGCTCTGCCCCTCTATGGGTCTGGCTGAAAGGTTCATTGTTGTTGGACTTCCGTATAGTTCAATTTTCTGTGGTTTGGTTGCGTTTTTGTTGCTAAAACTTTGTTGTGTTTAAACTTGGTTGTGCGAGAAGGCACAGTGTTTCCACCTACGCCTCCATCTTGGCAGAAGTCCTCCCCCAAAGAGTTTTTATGTGAGCTTTATCTATTGACACTTACTATGTTAGAAATTAAACTGAAAAAAATTTAAACATATCTAATCACTTAAGAATACAAATAAGCCCATTTTATCAATAAAAATATTATTAAAAAATCAGTGATAACAATACTGTTTTGAATTTTTACAACTCTCTTTGATGTCTGGCTTCTCTTGTCTGTTTCTGCATTCATTCTGATGGATATATTGTTTTGGCTGAAGTATATGAAGACAGTCTGGCCTTACACAAAAATGGACTTAAAAAAAGGAAGACATTTTAATAATCTTCAAGTAATTGTGGTTATTTTTTGATATGTGGTAGTTATCTTGAACTTACTCAGGGGTGTCCAACCCTTTGGAATCTCTGGGCCACACATTAATACATTATAACATATAATTACAAAAAAATCTCATAATATTTTAAGTAAATTTACAAGTTTGTATTGGGTCACATTCATACCCTTCCTGATCCACATGTTGGACACCCCTGTGACTTAAAGGTTAACTACAAAGTGGAATCTGAAATCATATCAAGGAACTTTCTGTACTCAGTTATATTACAATCCACAGTGTTACTGTGACCTCTGACTGGATCTTTCACCTGTGCCCAACTGTGTAACATTATATATTGGTCATTTGGAAAATAATGAGTTATACACTTCCTATGTTGACACATCTCATTGTATGAGATCAAACACTGCATTTGTTAGTATCACCATCTATTTGGTCAGGAGAGACTAAAGTAAAGGAAAGCTGTCTGTCAAGTTCATGATGGTGAATACGAGTTTTCCAAAGATTCAATTTTTGCCTGAAAGTTCATCTTGTAGCACTGGCAACAAATACTGCCTGTTGTTTCCCTTAAAGGAATAAGCTCACTTGGTTCACTCTAAAGATGATGTCTGCTAACCACCAAAACTGAAAGAGCAGTTTGTGTACTAGTTCTTTCAAGTAAAGAGGTGATCCACAGGAGACGATGCCGGCCAGCTGGCAGCACCAACAGAAGGCACAGGGCTGCCCCCTCAGACAGCCATCATACTTGGTGTACAACACAGGGATGTGTGCTTACTGCAGATTTCAAACCATGAGAGTATTAAAAAGATGGGTCTTCAAGGACTGAGACTTAATGAAATCAGTAACTTTCTTAACATTGTGAGTATGTGGTGGTGAAGAACAGAGGATTGCTGGCCACTGGCTGCTGCAGCCTGTGTCTGGGCTAAGGCACCAACAGCCTCATACATCACTGCTTGTGCAATCAGTGCAAATGTTAATACGATGAAAAAAGAAAGCAGCATCTTATAACAATAGTCTTGAGTATTCTAGCCCTCCTAAGGTGTCTCCAGGGGGTCTACAGCCCACTCTCTGAGAACTGCTCGTTTAAATAAGTGGCAGTCACACGTGAGTGTTTAAACACTCACACATATTCCTGTATTCCCTGCTATATTAGGCACACCAGAGGCCTGCCACCCTCCCTAGTATACACCTACCTTATATCACCGATATCTTTCCACTGGGCTCCATTAAAAGGTTCAGGGCACGTAAATATATACACACCCCACTCCCCCCACCCTGCTGCCTCAGACAGGTATTTAGGGTTCTCTTCACTCTCCTGCTATTACAAAGGTGCAGGATGACTAACCTTGGATATAGATCTTTTTCTATTTGTAGATATATCTTAAGGATGCTTGGAGTGAACTATAAGGGAAAGGTTAGAAACACACTTGTTAAATTGTTCAAAAGAATGACTTTTTTTGTAGGTGAGGAAAAAACAGCTCCTTCTGGTTGGTCCTTCATCTGCAGAATCAAGACTGTCAATTGGGCCAACCAGATTCATCTGCCACATTCCATCTTTGTCCAAGACAAGGAATAAACAAATTTTTAGTTCAGTTCTTCAAGACTTAATTCACCATAAAATCTCTTTGTAGGAAAAACAAAAAAGCTCATCTTGAGTTTTAAAATAAGACATCTTTCAGTGTTTTTCAAAGAACAGAGAAAAAAGTTATGCAAACACACTATACCCAGGTGCCTAATGCAGGGCCTCAGAAGGTGCCAATGTTCTAGGCAGGAACCAGTCATGAGAATATCAAAAGCAGGTTGCACTATGCTCAGACTTCCCACCAGATCTGGACTGGGGAACCTATTCCAGATGGCAATGTGGACATTCATCAACAAAGGGACTGAAGCCCGGAAGAATTAGTGGTGCTTGGGGTCCTTGGGCTCCCAGATGCTACCTGAACCTCTTCAGCTGTCTCCTCAGTGGGAGCAAAGCCAAGATACTTACCTCCTCAGCCACCGAATCCCTATAGTATCTCAGGCTTTGATCAGCAAGGACAAACCAGTATTTCTTCCACTGAAATGGAAAGGAGAAGACAGACTGAATTACTATGCAGCACACTTACTGCTCCAAGGTGACCCACGCCCCAGTCCTAGGGTACCTCCCAGAGCACATGAAAAGCAGAGGACAGGCAGCTCCTCTTGCAAGTGGCAGCGGACTCAGTGTTTAGGCCGCAGGCAGCCATGAGCATATGCCGTCAGGGCACTTGCTAAGCCTTGGCTCCCCAGTGACAAGGCAGGTGGGAGAGCTGGGGTGGGCCACTGGCCATGGGCTCTCTGTAACCCAGCAGTGTGGCTGGCAAACAGTGCTTTGTAGTTCTTGATTTTAACTCCAGGGCTGCAGACAGGGGGCTGGGCTAGGCTGAAAGGTGTCTGTGAAAACAGAACCTTTCTTCATCTTAAGGAGGCCACTTGTGAGTTAGCGCTCACCTGCAGCTAGCAGGTGCAAACCAACCAGCCAGATTCCCAAGTCTTCACTGTGAGTAGCAAGGGGGAGACTTGAGTCTTTGGGCAAGGCCAAAAGGGTTAACACAGAGAAGAAAAGAGGATGTTTCAGCAGAGCCGCTCAGAAAGCAGGTGTGGGAGAATGGGCAGGCAGAGTTTAGACGCCTCTAGATATGACCTAACAGGTTTCTCTCCTCATGCCTCCTGGGAGGTCTGGCATTCTAGCCTCATCCAGGGTCAAGGTGGGGATGGCAGGTCCAGCTGTAAAGAGCTCTTCCTGCTTGAGTCTGATGGTGAGAATGTACCATAATGGCTCTCTCAGGACTGAGGGTGAGTTGGTGTCTCTGACAGAGTCTTGCTGCCTCAGCTGCTATCTCCTTGGCTGCCTTGTGTGCAAGTACAAGCCAGCCCTACAGCCAGAGGCTTTCTCTGTCCCTGGAAGATCAGCAGGCAGGGAGCTAGTGTCCAGAATATCTCTGTGGCTTGAGGCCAAGGTCACTGCTGGGTATAGGACAGCAATCCATCACACCAGCAGCAGGCAGGCCTGGTGGCATATCTCCAAAAGCTCCACCCCTGCTGGAGAAATGAGGACTATGAGCCTCCATTATTCTGAGGAGATGGGGGTCCTGGCCACAGTCTTTGTCCATGAGACCAGAGGATGTGCCAAAGGTGGGGGGACAGAGCTAGTGCTCACAGACTAGCCGGGAATAAGGCCAGCTCAGTCTTGCAGCTGCTCCCTAGCCCTTTGGAAACCACAGATCTCTGTACACTAACCTGGCCATCTTCGTACTGCTTGGTCAGCCAGCCTTTCTTGAAATTCAGCAGGTCAGGCTGAGAAAAGAAGAAAAAAAAACAGTTCAGAGAGAAACACTGATATCCCAGTCCTGGGCAAAGGGTGACTAACAGAACAGACATTCTGTACAGGAAAGGTGGGCACCAGGAAAGGGGTTTCTTCACCTATCAGACCAACCTGCACAGGCCCCTGGCCTCAGGCTGTGCTGCCTACTGCCTGATCTGCAGGCACACACATCTGGGAGGAAGCTGATGCTGCACTGCGCAGGCTACTGTGAAGGAGAGAGCTCAGCCTCATTGCCCCGTGAGCAGCTGGGCTGCCTAGGGCTCTGAGACAGGCCCTATTCCATTTGCCTAGGAGGCAGAGAAGAATGGCCCAGACAGAGAGTCATTGAGTGTGGTGTATGAAGGGGAAGGTCTGCAGTGACAGCTAAAAGGAGAATTCAGAAGTTCTTGCAGAAGCCGACTGAGAGGGAAAAGAGGAGAAGACCAAGGAACAGACATGATGTCTGGTACTCAGTGAAATTCAGTGGCAACTCTACCAAAACCCTCAGGTCACTTATCTGTACCAGGATGACTTTCAGTCTCTAGTTCCCTACAAGGAGCAAAACCAGGACAACAAACAAGAAAGCAAAGGGTGCAGGCCCGCCAATAGGGCCTGAATGTGGTGCCATCCCTGCTGGTCCGTCCTAAAATCTGTGCTGTTCACACACCCACAAAGATTACCTGCAGCCCACCGGGACCCTGCTTATGTTTTACGTCTAGATATCTGTAAGGCTGGTGCTTCAAAGAGACATGGACCATCTTTCCCGTCACTGGACATGCTCTCCACTCTTCCACAGCCATCTTGACCAGAAATAGGCTGTGACATCTGTTGCAGTGCAAGGACTGGGAGGGCGTTAAGAGAGAACAGATGTATAGTGACAGGCCAATGACCAGCAACACCTGTTCTGGGAGCCTCTGCTCTAAACCGTTGAGCCAAAGTCAGAACTCAAGGAAAAACCCTCCAGGTAAGAACCCTCCTGTCCTTGCTCCACAGTTGCATACAGTCTTGGTGGTGGCTCCACACCTCAGTTGGGGAGAGGCAGCACCAGCCCTGGGCTCCTGAGGAGGTTATGAACAAATGCAGAGAGGAGCCCCAGGTCACCAGTCAAGGAGCAACTATGTTTTATCATCTGGGCCTCCAGCCTATTGCTGCTGGTGAGAGCGATGGTGCCGCCCAGACTCCATCTTAACTGCTCCCTATCCGGACCGTGACTGCTGTAGCTCAGGTGGCCTGGGGCAAGGGCCTCTTCTCTTCTCCTTTTATGGTGAAACCCCATGAACGGGACCAGTGCTCCCAGCAAGATGGGACTCCTGTTGCCAAACTGTCATGGAAACGAGTACCCCATAAAAGAAGAATGGGGGTTCTGTGCTTTGGCCCTGACCCCTGGAGTCAGGGGACTGTTGCCTTGTCAGGTGGCCTCCACTGGGACCTTGGAGCTCAGGAGGCCTACAAAGCCCAGGAAAGGGAAAGAAACAGAGCAGCTGCTTCCCACACATAGACATGAGGGCCTGTGCACAGAGAGGACAGCCAGCCCAGATGCATGGACAGAAGCAGACAGCGACCTCAGGTGACAGAAGCAGCAGCAGCAGCAGCAGCAGCAGCAGCAGCAGCAGCAGCAGCATCGCCAGGCCTTGGTGCTTGGGCGCCTGGGCTCACCGTCAGGGAGGACTCCATGGACCTCCTGTCCAGTGACTTGGCTCTTCGGTGTGGAGACAGGGGGGAGGCTGAGGCATCCAGGAGAGGAGCTGTGGGGGCTTCACTGGGGAGGTCCTGTGGCAGAGAGTAGCCGCCAGTCAGTATTAAGTGTCATCCTGGGCAGGGAGCAAGGAGTCCGGCAGCCAGAGCTGTGGAAGAATCAGACCTGCAGGGACCCTGTTCACAAGTGCCTGCTGTTTTTGCCGGAGCAGAAGGCAGGGGCCAGTGTCTGGACTTCCCACCTAGCACCTCTGTTTTGCTTTGGGCATGAGTTCTGCGCTGCCCTTGCTGTTGGGGCAGCCTTGTCACCACCACTCTCTGGGTCCTGCCCCAACCTGTTTCTTGAAGTCACAGAAGGAAGATCTCTGAGTTACGTGCCTGCACTCAGAAGAGCAGGGCACCTTAGCAGCCCAGAGAGAATCTGGGGAGGAAGATGAAGATGAGACCCAGCAAGGCCCCAAGAAGTGGGTGGAGGACTGGATGAGGAGCCCACTTCGTGGAGCAAAGAAATGAGGGCTACATTTGCCTCTTGTGAAGAGGAGAAAGAAAGCTGTGCAGCCCTGAGGCCAGGTTACCTCAGACAGGAAGAGAGGGGGATCTAAAGATCCTTGGAACAGCCTTTAGCAGAGATGAATAAAGTTCTGACAGGAAGATGTATAACATAGGCTTTTCTTTAAGAAGTTTGTGAGTTGGAGCAGATGAGAGACCCAAGCAAACAACTATGAAAGGATGGTGGAAAGCCCAGCAGCAGTGTGTACCAGTGTGTGCTGGGGGCTGTGGAGGAGGTATGAGGCCATGTGTTGATGGGCCCCACCCACCACCCCAGTACTGCCCAGGCCTCAGTGCTCACCCGCTTCTTGGGGAATGCCCTCTTCTCACTACGGCCCTGGCGAGTGTCGCTTGATTGTGAGGGTCCAGCTGATAAGTTGGTTTCCATGTGCTCTGCCTTCTCAATATCCAAGGCCTCAAATTTCTCAATTACCTGGGACCTCCTGCAAGAGAGGATAGGAGGCTGCTGGGGGGAGACAGGGTTACCCCACACCCCGAGGTGGGCTTGCTCTCAAGCTGCGGAGGGGCTCCTTCAGTCAGCACCCCCTTGGCTGGCCCATCCCAGCTTTGCCTGGGCCTCCACTTCTGCAGGGTGTATCGGGTATGCACACAGCACACTAGGCCAGTTTACCTTGGACATCTCTCTCCGAGCTCCCTCCCCCACTACAAAGGGTAGAGCTGTGCAGGAGAGCGCAACAGCTCACGGGCAAGGGCCTTCCCTTGCCCTCTGCATCCCCACCTCAACACTGGAGGTCCCTGCATGGTCTGTTGCGTAGACACTCGGGAATCACACAGCTTATCAGCAGGCATCCTCTCCTAAGCCACAGGTATGATAAGAAGGCAACCACCACCTTGGAGGGGAGAGCCCCATCCTCATCAAATTCCTGCCAGATCATGATGCAACCCCTACCCCAGGGCGTCCAAATTTTAGCAAGAAAAAGGCCCATGAATTAACATTGTTTCTGCCAACAGTAAAAAGAATCAAAACCCAAATTAAAACAAAACAAAGCAAGTTGATTTCATGTGAAAGGGCCGGAGGCATCATCACGCCATCTATGGCTGGAGACGGAGCTGAGATGGGAGCGAAGCAGGCGGAGGAAGGGCGAGTAACGTCACACAGCGACACAGCAGGAGAAGGTGGAGGGGGGCAAGACCTGAAAGAAAATAAGGCTGGAGAATAAATAAACAGGAAAGGACTGCTTTTAAAAATCAAATAATGATAAATCAAAATTGTCCAAAGAATTAAAGAACCAAAACCCGAGGTGATCACTGAGGAGGGAAGACCATCCTTGTCTCTGAGTCACAAGGAGTCTTCACAGTGGGTGTGGGCAGGAGGCCAGGTGGGGCACACTGGGGGCCTGGATCTTGACTATTGACAGGTCACAGGACCAGAGGCCTGTTTTCCAACAGGGACACCCAGCTAAGTGCCCTGAAGGTGCCTCTTGGGGAAAGTTTTGCATTCTGGACAAGTGGTAGAGAGTCAAGGGCAAGAGAGTAAAGGTCTGAGCCCAGAAGACTAAAATCTATGAGAAGCAACCTCAAAACCCGAGACATCTCCTCCCCCACACAACCCCAGGTCAGCTTTTTCTCAAGGAGAGATGCCATTAAAGATGGATCCTAGTGTTTCTTTATCAGGGAAGGCTTAATACCAAGGCCTGAATTCTGGGGCACCTTCACGATCTCCTCCTCCCTGTGCTTCCACAATAAGAGTGAGAGCCAGCGCACTAGGCTTTGCTGAGTCTTCTCCAGGAACAGCATCTGCTCCCAGGCCAGCTTGCAAGAACCAGCAGCGCAGGGTAGCTGGGGGAGGGCAGCAGGACAGGGCATGTGTCTGAGCACAGGAAGCTAAGGCAGAGGCAGGAGTTCCTAGGCCACAGGAAGCTCTTGCAAGTGCTCAGCCTGGTTGGGTAGGTGACACACCCCTGCTGCCCAACTCTCCCAGTGATGTTTAGAAAAGATTTCAGGACCACTCCCAGGTCTCAGGGCTGAGGCCCAGGCCTAGAGACCCCCAGGAAGGCCGTGAGAAACAACATCTGGCTGAGCCACAGGCGAATGGCATGCTGCAAAACTGCCAGGGCCACAAAAAGAAGAGTCAGAGGAAAAGCACAGGAAAGCAGCACTTGCTGCAGCCTCTCCATGTGGGTGGGCTCTGGGGAAGTCAGCTGTGTTTTCTTTGCACGATGGGAAGATTTGAGCTTGGTTTCCTTGAAGGACTGCACATGTGACCACACATACCTCCCTGAGCCAGATGAGAGCAGCACAGAAAGGAGGAATCGCACCTCTGCTCACCAACCCCTCCAGGTGCCTAGCCCAGGGGTCGGTAGGACCCTATGGGAGCTGGTCCTGGTATCAATCAACAATGGCCATGGCCTCCCCATGCTCACTCAGCAAAAACTCACCAACCAAGAAATATGTTAAAGCTCTGGAGCAAGTCTGAAGAGCAGAGCTGACCAGCCCACACAGGAGTACTCAAGGTCATGGCTTTTTGGGAAACCATCCAGCTTGGCTGTTGGGCAGGCTAGCCTTGCTCACCTGCCACTCTGGGTATGTGAGCTCTGGCCACTGTAACTAAACAACAACCTTCTGCTGTGGGGTTCTGCTCTACTCAACCAGGAGACAGGAGTCCAATAAAGCATAGGTCAGCTACTTGAGACCAGAGGGCACACCTCAGGAAGTGACAGCAACTAGCCAGATGTCATCAGGGTCAGTAAGAAAGTGATGTTGCAGTGTCAGGAAGCAGAGCCAGTTGGATCCCAAGGGTGCCAACACCACATAAAAACCCATGGTGGCAAAAAGCATGCAAAAAGCAAAGCCCCAGAAATGCTGTCAACCCCAGACCACTAGATGAGAATGCGTTCAAAGCCAAGCAGGCGTGCTGAATGTTAATTCTCTGGTCTGTCACTAAACCAGGGCACGGCTGCCTTCCACACAGGAGCCTTAAAACACACAGCCTACCCATAGGCCAGTGCAAAGCCTCTCCAACCCTGGCTGTTGGCCTCCTATACCTCTGGCAAGTTCCTTTTCTTATACACTTCTTTAATCTCTTAAAGGACAGCCTTGGCCTAGTCTGAGTCATGTCAAGGGAGCAGGGCCTTTCCAGTTAAGGGTCCAGCCAGATGTGTGTCCCAGTGACACTGCTCTGGACTGTTCCCATGAGGAGCCACCCTGGTTCTGAGCCCCTCTCTCTGTATCTACACACTGGGGTTGCTGATTTAGGTACCTCATGGGGTAACTAGTAAAATGGGAAGCCAGCCAACTGCTTGGTGGGGTACCTCGCAAGCAAGAAGGTTTCCTCTCCCTGTCTCTCAGAATTGGGAACATTCTGTTTTCTTCTCTTTTCAAGACCAACAACTCCGGGTATCTTGTCTTTATCCTGGAAATTAACCCACAGGTCCATAGGTCCTTTCTACCTGGGACATGTGATGGGGTGGATAGGTGTTCAGAAGAGAAGAAAGCACAGAGAAAAGCACCTCATTCCCAGTCGGCCCCTTGAGGGGAGCCCACTGCCAGCCTGGCTTGTCCCCACAGCATGTTCTAACTCTGAGCTTTACTTAGGTTTTGGTAAAGCAGGGAGGACACTCTGTGAACACTTCTAAAATTTAGGCCTGAACCTTTTTGAAAGTGAACTTCTTTGGGAACCTAATGAAAACTATGGATTTTTTTCCCCTGGAATATAGGTACGTAAAAATTTTGGAATGGTTTAGAGGGGTCTGTGAGCTTCTAGCAGCCGACTAGTTACCTGGGTAAGAACCAGTCAAGCAAACAAGAGACACACAAAGGCTGTTTACAGACTCAGGGAGGGGCACTCAGATACCCTGGTCCAAACATGGGCTTGGAGGCCTCTGAGATTGAACCAAGTTGAAGCTCAGGGCCAGTGGGACAATGCAAGGGCAGACAGAACCATCTTCTTCTTAGACTACAGTCAAGTTCCACATCTCTCTGTCTCTGGCCCTTGTCCTAGGCCCATCATCCAAGCCCCTTCTCTCTCGAGGAAGCTGTGGCTCTGCTGAATCTCCCCATTTCCACATTTCAGCCAAGCCTGGACAAAGAGTGATGCTGCCAGGTGCCTGGAAGCCTCCTAGACTGGCTTGGCTGCCCTGTGCCTTCCCGTGGGAGCAAGGGCTTGAGGGAAGAACTGGGTTCCCACTCTGCCTCCCTGAACATGGCTACTTTCCCAGCATCTCCTGTCATGCTCTTGACCTGCAACTGGAACCGGTAATGGCAATGAGAGCTTCTGCTACCTTCTGTATATCTAGGGTCTTCCTGTCTTCACTGTCTCCTCAGAGAACAGAATTGGGCTGGGAAGAAGATCAAGCCATACAAGGCCCAGATAGCTGAGAACCTGCCCAGAGGCCCTTAAGGTCCCAGTCCTTGGAAGCACTCATAGAAAGCAGCTGGCCTCGCCTAAGTCTCTGGGTACTCAGAGACCCTACATTCTTACCACCAGAAGCTGAGTTCTGGAACCAGAGTCTAGGGTTAGGAGGGAAAAGTTCCCCACATGCTCTGAACAGAAAGGAAGGACAAGTGGGCTCCCCAAGGAAGGCTCAGGAAACATGTGTGTGCATATGGGAGAGGAGCAGGAAGGAAGAGGAAATGTGTAAGACAGTAGGTGAGAGTGTCTAAGACTGTATGTGAGTATGTGTATTAGAGAAAACAGGAGAGTATGAGGGAGAGACTGTGTGTAAAGGTGGGGGAAACAGTCTGTGTGCCTTTGTGTGCACATGTGCGCACATGCATTCAGCCCTCTAATCCCCTCCTTACCTCCTCTCGTTGCCAAACAGACGGGCCACCTCTTCCCTGCCAGGGCTCCGGCCCCGAGTGCTACGCTCCAACCTCCTTCTCTCCACCTGGAAGGCTTCTCGGTGGCTGATCCTGATGGCCTTAGGGACGTCGGCCAAGGTGGCATACCGCCTGCTGGCTTTAAAGGCAAGGGTGCAACCCAGTCTCTCTGCTCCCCGCCCCCCAGTGCTGCCGGAGTCCATGTGAGCGGGGGGCTGGCTGGCCACATCCAGAGAGCTGAGGTAGCTGCTGCAGACCATTCGACAGGGGGGTCGAGGACCTGGGGAAGGAAGGGGATGACCAAGCTCCTGGGAGGGCGGTCTGGGGCCACTATACCTGTTATTGGGAATGCTGGGGCTGGGAGGGGAGACTGGCTGGGGCAGCTGCTGTTCCTCGGCCTTCAAATCCTGCTTGGTCTTCTCCAAGGAGAAGTAGCCGCTCTCCACCCGGACTTTGCGGCCACAGTCCATGCGGTCACTGTTCATGATGCTCTCCTCTGGGGGGAGGTAGGAGACACACTCAACCTGCTGCCATCTTGAGTTTCTGAGGATGTTTTTAAAAGTCCACAAAGATCCAAACACAGACCTTTCTACCTCCATCTCCTAAGGCCAATGTCATTCCCCAAGGGCAGGTAGGGAATAGAAATACATCTCTTTCCCACTGTGCCCCATCCACTCCTCCCCTAGCTTGGCTGCCTCACAGCCAGACTGTCAGGGAGCCCTACACTTCCAGATTGGGGACATGAGTGAAAGAACGGGCTCCTCCTCCTTGCAAAAAAGATGTCCTACCAACAACTACTTCTTACCAAATATCAAGGAGGAACCAACTTTTAGTTAATTCTGGGGAAGGAAGGGGTAGAGGACATTTATGGAAACCAGAGGCATGAATGAATTTTAGACACAGATGGGTGTGTGCTACCAAATGAGTACTGAGGCCACTTATGGCCAGAGCAAGTGCAAAGTACTTTTTGGCCTGAATGAGCTGGGTCAGTCACAATCATCTGGTTGTCTTCAATAATCCGGAAAAAGTATAAATAGGAAAGGCCAGGCTGTGTATTGTAGAGCCTTCAACGGCTTGGACAAGGGAAGGAGGCAGAGGTGGCTGCCCTGCTTCTGCTCAGGCAACTCCAAAGTGCTCAGTGGAGAAAGCGTGGTGGTGCCAACTGTTCCCTCTCCAGCACCGTCTTCCCTACTTCATCTAGGGGCCTGGCAGAATGGGACAGTGAGGAAAAGGAGAAGACAACCCTAACTTATAGGAGACCATTCTGTGTGGCATGGGCCCAGCTCTCAGTGGAAAGCGAGGTCCGATGCACAGGACCCACGCCCACGGATAGGTTCTCCCATGGGGAATCAGGCCTGCATTGTACCTAGGCCACTTTGAGGCTTGCTTTTGCTGAAAATCCCTCACCCTGAACTGAAGTAGCAAGTGCTTACTGTTAACTTCCTAAAGTCTGTGCTAAACCTCCCCAGTATGGAGTGTAACCAATTCAACCACTTTTGCCCTTGGTCTGCAACATCATTCTCTTTGAAGTAATTAGCGGCATCCTCTCCTTTGTTTTCTGTAAAAGGTAACCACCTAAAGCGAATCTGTGCATAATAAATGAGGACCATCATCTATATGCCCAGAAAAGCAATAAAAGCTTGTCAAGGCAAGGGCTGGTGCACTTTCCTCTTGAGAGAGTGGCCATGCATCCCTTTTCCTCCACAGGACTTGGTGGTGTGTGTGAATGTGTCTCGTATCTCATCCATAATGCCAAAGGCCTTATGAGCTGGGGTCCACATCACTAACTACTGCTGCTCTCAGGACACAGTGGACTCTTCTGCAGTTCACTTGGCCAAGAAGACAAGGCAGCCACACTGGACAGGACACAGATGCCGCCTCATACACAGACTTCATCACAGAGCATGTGGACTCTCACAATGCCTGCCTGGTCTGACTGAGCAGGGGCTACCCTCCTTGATGGATGGGACTCCAGAGCTTGAGGGGCCAAATCTAAGCTGGAGCTCAGGAATTCCCAGCCCCCCACCAGGCCAGGCCCTGCCCAGGGCTGATGGATACAGAAGGTGAGAGAGCCTAAGCAGGAGCTCATGGCTGAGCTGTGCAGGCTCTGAGTGGCTCCAGGGCCAGCTTTGTAGGTACAAAGGTCTATTTCAGTACTTCAGAGGTAAGCACTTGAGCCAACCTGGCCACTGCTTACCATCTTTGCCCTCTAGTCCAGGTTCCCTAAGGGTGCTGGTTGCAGAAGGCTGGCTCTGGCTGGGACTCTGAGCTGGACTCAGGCTACTCCCATCTGGCTGGTCCTTGGCCCTCATTTCCTCCTGCCAGAGTGTGGACTTGGTGGTGGGGACTTTCTCCGCACTGGGGATGCTGCTGCTGGTGGTGGTGACGGCCATCTTGGCTGGCCCTGGCTCCTAGGAGAGAGAGTGGTATCTGTTCAGGCACAAGAGCACACAGCCCGAGCTGGTGCACAGGTCCTGGGTGCCTGGGTGTGGCTATTAGGGGATACCAAGATCAGCTATACAATGCCAGAGTCCAGAGTTCCCAGAATGGGAAGACTCAGAAAATAGAGATGTCCTAGTCAGCTCCTTCTGGATGGCAGTGTGGCCTTTTCTCCTCTGCAGCTCCAGCAAACAGCTTCAAAGTGCTTGGACCCATAGGCCTCAGGCCAGGCTTGGCAAATACATACAGCAACGGCTTTCCTTTTCTGCTCATCACCTCAATACCAAATTCATTCAAATTCTCCCTGCCCACAAACCCAGACATAGCCCAGAGCAGCAGACCAGGCATTAAAGACCACAAGTGGCTAGTTCAGAGCCTGTCATTCCTAGACTTCCAGGTGCTTAGGATATGAGTAAAGGCAGCTGAGATGGGGAGAAGAAAGAAAACACCATGAGATGGGCCTACTGGGGGTAAATGAAAAGCATGTGTACACACATTATGGATAATGTGGGCCAAACCTCCACCTCACCTACCCTCTTATTTTTGGTCCTAGGATGTTAAAATGAAACACCTGGGATACTGCATAAAGAAAAGAGTCATTAGATGCTAACAAAAGATACCACTCAAATCTGCTCCCATCCCTTCCCATCCAAACAAGCTCAAAGGGACTCCACAGCAGACTCTGAAGCCCAGACAGGAACAGTTTCAGTCCCATTTGTACAGGTCAGATGGGTGCTGCTCCACAGGAGAAGCAGCTGTGCAGGCTCTTAGACACAGGGAGTCCAATTCCAGAGTACACAGAGAACGTTCACTCGGCACTGCAAACCAGAGCCCTGGCAAGGGTGGGGTGGGAATACCACCTTCCCTGCAGCACCTGCTCGAATCCTAGCATAAGCCCCCTGCCTGGCTCAAGGCCCTGGGTACCTGCTGCTAAGGGGGTTAAATGGCTTTGGGGGCCTCTCAAAAGTGAGGTACATCTTAACTGTCTTTTCCGAAACCTGAGGAATGTGTAAAAGTGGGAGTGGGAGGCACCACCTTCCCACTCCCATCCTAGTGGCCAAGTTTCATTATTAGAAACCTACTTTAACATAGCCGGGATGTGGGGCCTTGTGAGGGTTATAGACAATCAACACAGGTTTTGTGTGTGTGTGTATGCAGACCCAGCACAACCACCGGTGGGTTATTTATTAACAGCTGCTGGCGTCAACTAAGCTGAGCTCTGGTTCGGCACTACCAACATCCAGTCCACACCAGCTGACCTCACAGGGGAGAGAGAGAGGAAGCCTGCACAGCCCATAAGCGGAAAAGTGGGGCTCCAAGCATTTCCCAGTCCCGGGCACCCATAGGAACAGCAGAAAGGCCCAGGATGGGGTAGGGAGGTTTGCCTTGGACGGATACCCTGGAAGACCCAGTGAGAAACCCAGGTACCATGTGTCCCAATATGAGAAGATGGGCATTTTGCTGGGTCAAAGCTTTCTGTAGCTCATAGACCTCATAGGACAGATAAAGCCAGGATGGCTCTTCCCACAGACTCAGGACACATATGACTTCTCACTGTGTCAAAACTGCCTGCAGACCCAATTTCCAGGCTGGAGATTCCTGAGAGCTTTCACTCCCTCAAAAGAAGTGGACTTCTTGGAGAAAAACAGTAATGGTTTCTAAGTTTCCTAAGGGTTCCAACAGAACCACTGACCCAAGGAGACCCACCTGTCCCTCCAGTCAGCACACTGCCCTCTTACTCCATGCTGTACCCCCTCTCAGCAACCCAAGGCCTTCTGCCCAAAGGCCAGAAGCCAGAAGCTGGGTTCAGGGTAGAGTTGGATCCTTCCTACAGAGCTGGGCAGGGGTAATGTGAAGACCATTTTTGGTGAATCGATCTCCTCTGTGGAAGGGATGCTAGACCAGGGAAGGCAGAGGTTGTCAAAAAGGGCCAAAGAGTAGGGAGCAGGTGGCTATGCCCATGAGGACCATGGCCCTGGCTGCCAGTGCCCTGAGTCCCGCCCTGTGGGTAAAGTTCCTGTGGAACATGCACACCCCTCTTTCATGCTTGGGGTGACCCTAGCATTGGGGAGAAGTGGGGTGGCAGGGATCTCTAGAGAGAAAAGTCCAGGCCTGAGATCTAAGAGGCCATGACTGGGCACTTAGGCAACATAAGCACCAAACAGCTTATAGACCCAGATCTGGCCCTGGGCTTCCCACCTTGTATAAGGTCCGTAGCAGTCACAGGTCCCTGCCCATGCTCCCCACTTCCAGAGGATTTTCCCAGAGCACGAGGGCCCTGAACAGTGGCCAAGGTCCATGCAGAGTTTTTTTCTCCCATTACCATGGCCCTGCTTCTTCCTGCCTCTAGGCCGAATGAGCAGGAACAGATGGATAGTCTGGCAACAGGAACAAAGCCACAATGGTTTCCAGTAGAGGATGGGTGATGAGGGGAAGCCCAGAACACTGCTTTTCTTTCTCAGAGCAGGTATGTGGAGGGTAAGATGATGTACCAGCCAGGCCACGGCTAAATGGTGCTAACCTCTGCCCCCCACACTGTCACTGCTGTGGCAAGAGGATGCCCCCCACACTGTCACTGCTGTGGCAAGAGGGTTCACGCTGACCCACACCCTGGCTGCTTGTACAGAGGAAGGAGTGGAAGCACTAGGTTTTCTATGTGTTAGTTCCTATGTGGCTAGGACAGCTGCATTGCTCAGGACTGTCAACAATGTGATAGTCTGTGCTGTTTATCTGGCTGCTTATAAAGGGTTTTCATAGCAGGGAGCAGAGACAAAGTGTAAGAAGGGGGCCTGTGCATCTTCTGTGTGCTAAGCAGACCCCCCTCTTTGGAGGGGGTTTCATTGAAAGCCTTCCTTTCTACTTCCAAGGTGTGAAAACTGACCCAATGGGAAAAAGGGCTCTGACCTGGAGTAGGGTGCGATAGCAGGCTCCCAAGTAGAAAAGAAGATGCCTAAGAAGCAGAGGTGGCAACTCACAACACATGTGGCCTGAGAAGGGCTGAGTGGATCAAAGGAGCCAGACTTCCAGAGCCCTACTTGATAAAGTCTGCCTCCTCCCCCAGCCTACACACCTGGCTAGGGAAACACATGGCCCCTGGTATCCCATCTCTGGAATTTGCAGGGAGGGCAGTAAGATCTCCATCCTCCCTGTCCTGGCATTACAAAGAGTAGATTATTGTTCCTTCTCTAGGTTTCTTGGTACCAAGAAAAGCAGAAGTCTTTCCTCCTGGAGTAAACAGGGCCCTGAGTAAGAAGCATTTCCCAGGAATCCATACCTCCCAGGCCCAGGCTTCAAAGGATTTGGTTAGGGCAAGCCTTTCTCTTCCTCCTGCCTGGGGCTCTGCTAGGACCCTCAACCAGGGCCCAGAGGCTGTGTGCCCTCCCAGCAGATTGATCCTCGTTCTCCCACAGGGCCAGCTTGTTCTTCTCTCTGATGTTCTCAGCAAACCACTGGGTGCCTGGGTACTCTTTGTGGCCCCCACTTCCAATTGCCTACAACATTTCTTGAAGGGGAACCCTGGGCTCTCTACCTGCATTGCCAGATAGTAGGGTGCAGCAGAGAATGCTTCTAGCTCCCTATTGATTGGATCTGAACTAACCACTTCTTGGGCCCCTAAGGCTTTAGGCTTCCATCTGACACCATAATACCTTTAGCTCCAGGCTGTGGAGTGCAAACCAGCCCAGAGATCCCCCAACTCTCCTCTGGAGAGGCCCACATCACCCCTTGGGACCGCCTAACAAGAAGCATGAACCCTGATAATAGTTCAGTTTCCAGAAACTAGTGGTCTCAAATAGAATGCTCTGGAAAGCATGGGGCAGAATGAAGAAACCCCAGGAGGAGCTGAGTGGAGGAGGCTATGTATGACCTCAGAAGTCAACAAGCAGCCCCTCCCAGCATGTTCTCTGCCCCCCAACAACAGGTAGGACAGGTAGGAGAAGGGACACATGTTGTGCACTACTGATCCTCAACTCCTGCCCCCCTGGCTGAAAACCTCCTGGGGAAGCCCCAAGCACACAAGCAGACCACCCTAGCTGTCCCAGTAATGGATCCTTCCCTGTGGCTCAGAGAGGAGCATGTAGATTGCAGCCTACGAACCATCAGGAGGAAGGGGGGACACACTGGCTGATGACCGCCTCAGCTCTGACCTGACACTTTCCTCAACCCCCCATTTTCAGCTGGGTCATGAGGCCTTCTAACCTCCCAGAGTGCTCTCACTCCTCCCTAGCTTCACCTTGGGGAAGCCACCCATTGCCTACCTGTGGCGTGGGAGGCTCCACTTTCCGCTTCTTCTTCTGGTTCTGCTTGTTGGTCCTGGGATAGATCATGAGCATCTCTAACCACCTAGGGAGAAAAGAAGAGAGGAAGTAAGATCCCTGCTCTTAGGGATTAGGACCCTGCCTTGATGAGTGGTTCAAGTATTTACTACGTGGGTCCAGGCTTCACCCAGTGGCCAGGCTTCACACCAGCTCAGATTAGAGCCTGCCACTGCCAGAGCAGGAAGTGCCAGAAACACAGGCAGGATAGGCACAGACTGTGCTGAGACCAGGCTTGGATGCTGACCCTGCCATGACCACTGTGATGAAGTGGTTAGAGATGACATGAGCTCCACCCAGGTGGAGAGGCAGGGCTGACTGTTGGCCTCAGAGTGCAGGGCATGTCACTGTTTCCATCACTGTCCTTACTTTCAGGGTTTAGACTCAACTCTGTAACTGCCCTCCAGAATGGATTTGGTTAGCACATAGTTGGGTTGCAACTGGGGGCCATTTAGGGCTCTCAAAGCAGAAACAAGGAGCCTTGTAACAAAAGTTCCCCACAGCAGGTCACTTCAGGAGCTGAGCAAGCAGCTGACCTCCTCTACCCATTCACCCACCTCTGGGCTGTACCTATGTGAGGGGGAACCTCCCCCCCAAGCCAGAATTATCCTTCGGCAGGCCCCTTGTAGCACAGGCTTCCCCCACTAGGGGAGTGTTCTAGGAACCCATCTGTATCAGTGTACCAGTTAGTGTTGTTGTGAGAGGCTGCATTTGACCTCAGTGAATTTTTTTGAAGATTCTTTCAACTCATTTGCCCATTTCGTGATGGGTAATTCATGAGTGCACCTGTCCACACCATGCTGAGTATTCAGCAGTTTTTGACCAAAAATGGCATGACCCCCATGCTCCGCCCTCCCTATTCACCTGATCTTGCCCTGAGATACTTTTTGTTTGTTTGTTTTCTCAGGTGAAAAAAGTCCTCAATAGGAAACGTTTTGCCAATGTGGAAGAGGTGAAACAAAAAAATGGCGAAAGCACTAAAAGGCATCAAAATGGACAAGTGCAAACTGTTTTCGGGTGGGGAAAAACATCTTGATAGGTGTAGTGCAACAAATGGAGAGTACTTTGAAGGTGACTGCAGTTTGAACATGTAGGAATACATAATTTTTTATAAATTCCTTTTTTGGCAGGGAGGGAGTCCCTGTCGTATGGTGAGGGCACTGGGCACCTTGGCCATGTTGAAGCCTTGCAGAACTGCCCAGGGACACACATCGTGAAAAGATCATTCCAGATCAGCATCAGGACAGGCAGCAGGGGAGCGTAGGAAGATCAGAGCTTTGATCTGGTATCTGCTACACTCTAATCACAATCCTGCATGTCTCCTAGCCCCTGAGCTTCAGTCATCATCTCTGGAACCAGGGCCTACATTAGGGCCTGATATGACCACTGCCTGCCTCACTGAAGGTTTATAACATCTGGGTTAGAGGAAGGGGAATAGGAGGAACGGAGGTCAGGAGAGGGCCTGGTCGTGAAGAATGGCCCAGGGCTCTCTCCAGAGGGGATGGTACTGCAGGAAACACTGGTCTACTTTTTACCAGAACTCCAGGTTCCAGGTCAGGTCTGCTTCTAGCCTGTGACCAAGGCCAGGTTGTGGGGCTGAGCTGCAATGTGAGGCTGAGTCTGCACTGGGAGCACCTTGGCTGGAGGCTACTGTGACCACTGGCATCCCAAGCTGGGACACAGAGAAGGGCTGGTGTTGTTAGCACTCAGAGGTACTTCTTTAATTTGGGGTTGAAAGAGGCCTGGTCAATGGCCTTCTGGGACAGCCTCAGGAAGGTGTGCTGGTTGTTTAGCTGATAGCTGGTGGCCAGGAAAGTAAGTTTGGGAATGAAGTATCACAGGATCTGAGCTGAGGGGTTACCCTCAGCCCAACCCAGATTTACTCCTCTAAAAGCTTTCTCAGCCTTAAAGGATGAGTGGAATTCTCCAAGACCCAGTGCCTGTGCTCCAGCCACACATGTTCACTGTGCATGTACCACATGTGCTGGGCCATACAGAGCCAGTAGTAGATACCCCAGGAGCAGGGGCTCCTAGAAGGCAGATGTTGCAAGGGCTCAGGAGCCTAAGCTCAGCCCCTCTAGACTGTTGGCTACCTGAAAACCTGGGCCCTCTTTCCACTTCCTAGGGTTTTCCTTAAGCCTCTGCATGGGGTGTGCTCAGGGCAGTGGGATGACCCAGAGACTTTCTACTCTTCCATTTGGACAAAAGAGCCAGTGTGCACTACAGCTCTGGAATGACTCCTGTGAGTAGGCACTGGGCATGACGACATGACGTGGCCTCCATTGTCAAGGGCCTAGCCCTGGCTGAGGAAGCAAATGTGCACACAATCTCTTTCTTTTATAAGAGCCAGCAGATGGAGCCAAGCACCTTGCAAGGGAGAGCTTCCTGGAACAGTGGACACTCAGGTTGACTTTAATAGCCTGATGGCTAGGGATTATTTCAGACTGAAGGAGGACACAGAGATGGGGGACAGCTGAGGAATGAATGTACAGTGACAAGCACCTCAGTGCTTAGGGTGGAGGGAGTGAGGCTGGAGGGCTGGAAAGGGGCACCAGGGCAGCCAGGGAACTTGGACTTGACCCTCAGGTGATGGGGTTTAGGTAGAGAGGCAAAATTATAGTGCTTTGGGGACTCAGCCCATTGTGGTAAAGTGACAGAAGGTTAAGGTGCAGTGAGAAGAGAGGAGGGAAACCAGTAAGAGGTTTAAGGAAGGCGTGGCAGCCCCAGAAGCAGGTCTGTGCCAGCAGAGAAGAGCCTCCAAGCAGGCAGGACCGTGGGGCAGCCTTGGCAAGTGGGGGCACATGGATGAAGCAAAGGCAATGGAAGGTGAAGCCAGTTCCTGGTGTGGTGATTGGGAACAGTGGTGCTGTAAGTGGAGAGAGGGGACTCAGAAGAGCAGACACCCTCAGGGAAGAAAGTGATGGAAATGCCGCTTAACTGTGCCAAAAGAACCTAGTCCAGGGACCTGCTGGTGGACAGGGAGCACTGCCTCCCAAAATGCAGAACAGACTCACCCACTGATAATCTCCTTGGACTCTGCCCGGATGAAATGCTCCTTCTCAGGTGTCAGAATGCACAAGGAGAACTTCTGGCCCGTCCGGCCCTCTCCGTCCACCACGTCTGTACACTGGTTCATGTTGATGGTTCCCTGAGGGAGGGTTGTGGGCTACAAGAAGATGAAGCAGGGACACTCAGAGACCAGCTCTAAAGAGGCACAGTAAGGCAGTATAGACCATCCCCACATCCCCAAGCCCTTTCTGACTTGTGGCTTCATGACAGGCACCTGAGCATGGACCCCCAATTACAAGAGGCACAGGGTGTGCTCTGCCTCACCCTGGCCCTCGAAGCTCCACTTACTACTTGACCCCCACCCCCGGAAGGAGGGTGAACATGCCTGCTCTTCTCAGAGGATACCCAGCTGGACATTCCTTCCTCACTGGAAAACAATATCCCAGCTGGTAGTGGGAAAGGAGGAGAGACAGGAAGGGGACTGCTCCCTGAGGACAGCTGAGAGAACAGAGGAAGCTAACAGCCTGGTCTTAGAGAGGTTACTCATTTAAGAAGGCAGTGAAAAAAAGCTCCAGAGGAGGTGATTTCAAAATAGCAAGGTTATTTTTAGAGGCAAGGACAGGGCCAGAGAGAAGCCACATCCTTGAAGGCAGGCTGGGAGGCTGGGAGGCCAAGCCCACCAGAGGCAAGTGAACTTACTGTCACCTTCCTGGGCTGCAAGGCTGCCTGGCCAGTGCTGGAACAACAAATAGTAACTTCTTTTCCTTTTCTGACAACAAAGCGGTCAGACACTGAAATTAGGGATAGAATACCAAAAAACAAGAAAAGAAACCTTTGAGAAATTCCTACTAAGTGAAGGATTAACTGAGAGGACATTCCTGCATAGCCATTATTTTCACTGGGCACATGGCCACCAACTACAGACAAGATATTCCAGCCAGCCCTAAGGCCCAACATGGTCATGGGACTCCGTCACTAACTGCTCAGCAAGGCTTGGTTTCTCTGTGTCCAAAAGGAGGGCTCTACCTCCTTCCAGAAGTGTCAATAAAAGGCGAGAGCATAACAAGCTAGGACTGAAGGAAGTGAACATTATTCACTGCCTGTGTGTCAGGATCTCACAAGTACCTCTTCCATGCCCACTTAAATATGGCTTACCATGAGGCAGGCATTGTCTAGTCCTATTACATGTGCAGGAAAGGGAGCAGAGAGAGCAGCAGTCACTAAAGGAAGGAAACTATCAGGTCCACACCGAGAGCTGACATGAAAACAGTGCCTTCTGCGTCCACCAGCAGCACCTCTAGGAGGTGCCTCTCACTGTCCTGTGTGCTTACATTGAATGCTATGCTTGGTCCCACAACCTTCCAAGCCTAGCAATACTGTCACCTCATTTGCCCCCTCACCATTCCGCCCCCAGCTGTGTCTCCTCAGCTTGAATCTCCCAGAGCTCAGCAGATTCAAGCAGGGGTATCCAGATAGCCCCCAGGCCTGAATCAGGCCTCCCCCACCATGCCAGAGCAAGCCATATCCATCTCCATTCTCAGCACCGAGAGCTGCTCCTTAACAATCCATGTCCCAGCTGTGCCTGCCTGGGCCTTGTGCTAGGAGAGCAAGGGCAAGTATCTAGGCTGTAGCCCAAATCCAGCACGGAAACTCCTCACCCCCAGTGTTGTCAGCAGAGAAGCCAGCTCTGCCCAACAACGTCCCTGCCCTAATTCTGCATCTCCAGAGGGTAGGAATCCAGGCCTTCCACAAGGCTGAACATTACCTACTTTTGCTCATTTCATTTTCTGAAAAATTGATGGCTGTTTGCAGGCCATCTAGCTCTGCTATGTTGCCAAGTTATGGGTTCGGTTCTCACCTAGCAATGTCACCAATAGCCCTCTAGCCATCAGGGGAACTCTGGACCTCTTCTGGCCTCCATATTGCACCAGCCTACATGGCAGAGCTGCTAAATGGCTAATAATTATTTAAGCATGAGGTGACCAAGCAGGAGGACAAGAGACATGGGTCTCTTTCCAGGGATATGACCATATTCTTCTGAAAACCCAGCCTTTCTACTTATCATTTGCCTGCTGGCCCACAAGAGGCCAAGGGAACCTCTGCCCACTGCAGGTGAGGCACCTCTCACAGGCCCACTTAGGAAAATCCTGTGACAGTGGCTTTACCACATTGGGAACCTCCATACCCAACCGTGGACCAAGGGGGTGCATTTTAGGGAAAACACGCATCCTTAATTTCTTGTTGGATTCTGGGAATGTAGGAAGGCAAGTTTCCCAGAGCCAGAGGGAAAGAAGAGGAATGTAGGACAGAAACACAGAGAGGGGCCATTCACCCATAGAGGGGGTGAGGAGTGGAGGGCTCTGATTAGGCAGCTGTGCTTCTGGAACTAGAGGCAGCTCATATGAAAGACCTGGGTGGAATGGGAACTGTCCGTTTTGTGGCCTCCTCTCTACTCCCTCATTTGGATGGGAAAACAAGAGTCCCACAAAAACAAAGGCTTTGTCCCTTGGCAAAGAGGTACTCATAAAATCTCAGTATCAGAAAGAACCTTTCAAGGTGAAGCCCAACCCCATCCACTGAGTTCCTGCAATAGTTCACATATTTCTCGAAGTCCTCTGACCATGACAGAGAACTTCGAATTTCATATAGGATGAAACGCACTCATCTGCATACACATGTGACACGAAAACTATGGGAAAATATTCTCCCTGTATGTATGCATTCTGTATTATCTTTCGTCAGCCACAAGTGACTTAAGTAGGAAAAACACTGGTGACAGCAGTCAGCCAGCATGTCTGACATGGCCAGGAGCTAGGGCTCAGTACACACCAGGTAGGACATGAAGAGTCTACCTTTCAGTAAAAGCCCTGCAGCAAAAATCATAGTAATCACTTCCTGGGCTGGGTAGGGCTCTAAATAAGCAGTTACATGTGTGACCCATTCACCTGAGGACAGCCTCAGGAGGCAGGCACCATCACTGCCCAGTTTATAGGCATCTAAGTTGGGGCTCAGTGAGGAGGGGACTTGGTGCCCCTTGGAGCCACCAGAAACTACTCGGGCTCCTCCACAGTGCCTTTTCTCCCGGGTCCTTGCAACCACTTTGTACAAGGTCACATTCAAGGTTACTGGCAGAACCAGTAGGCAGCCCACCAGACCTAATCCAGTAAGGGGCTTTTGGAGTTTGGTGTGCTTACAATGGGATCACACAGGGTCCCAGCTCCCCAAAAGCAATGACGGTGGTGCCCAAGAGCTCCCTTCCAGAGAGGCCTGGTGGGCAGCTGTACTGGAGGCTTCGTTAGGCCACTTATGTCAGGTCCAAGGAGAGGTCACGTCCTTTCTTTGCAATGAAGGAAGTTGGACCTGAGTTCTCTAGAAAGGAAGGCAGCACTTAGGGAGCCCTTGCTGAGTACTGCACCCAATTCATAGGCACCCTAGAAATCCCAGATCCTGGCACAAACAGGCGCCAGTCAGGCTCACAGAAACCATTCGGCTCTTCCTGGAACTACCCACTTGCTCACAGGGCCCAAGTCTGATGAGTCATCAGATCCTCTCTCTTGAGGCAGTGCCAGTGACCATCCCCTAGACACCAAGGTGTAGAATGGGCCACCTGACTCCCAGCCAGCCAAGGTCACAGTCCTTCCCAGCAAGCAGGACTCTTCAGGCAGATAGTCCTGAAGCCCAAGGTCTTAGAGGAAACTGGAAAGGCCCATGAAAAAGGAGTCTTAAGACTCACCCATGAGGTCATGACCCCACCCAGACCTAGGGTGAGCAAAGCCCCTGTCCTGGCACCCAGGAGCTCCAGGCCAGCTGAGATGGACAAGTGCCATAGGAGTGACATTCTTTGAATGGCAAAGGACCATCCAAGCCCCTTGTCCAGCCTTTTGTCAGCCTCTCAGAAATTCTCCATCCTTATGGTATACAGGGCAATTTTACAATCATCCCTTCATTGGAGCACAGGCTGCAGAGCAGCCCCAAAGCTGACATGCGCCATAGCCTTGTTGCAAGTCCTCGGGTGCCTGGTATGTTTCTGCAATGTCACGTGGTTGCACTGGAAGGAGCAGTGATTGGGCACCCCTCCCTCCCCTTTGTCTCCAATGTGACACCAACCTGCTACAATTCAATTGTCCCCAGGAGGATGCTCCATCAGCCAGGCTGGAGGTGAGGACACCCTAGGACAGGAATGAGGGTTGGAGCCAAAGACAACTATGCTCCCAGAGCCTTCCTCCCCACAGAGGTTTAAAGACCAGATGTAGACTCTGGGCTTTCTGTATCTATAATCCACTAGCCCAGGTGAGCCCCAAGCCTGGCACAGAATCCTAGCTCTGCCACTCACCATCTCTGTCATGCTGGGCGAGCTGCAAACTGTGAGCCTGCTTCTGTAAGTGTTAAATGAGGGAAATATTTCTCACTTCAAATGTAAAATGGAGCAGCTGTGTGAAACTGTTGGGCAGTTCCTCAAAAGATTAAACATGGAGTTAACCACATGACCCAACAATCCCACTCCTAGGTATATACACCCCAAAGAACTGACAACAGGTATTCAAACAAAAATCTATAAACAAGTGTTTATAGCAGCATTACTGAAAACAGCCAAAAGGTTGAAACAATGCAGATGTCCATCAGTAGATGCATGGATAAACAAATGTGGTTTAGCCATATAGTACAATATTACTCAACTATAAAAAGAATGGGTGTGTGTGTGTGGGGGGGGGTGTTGCTGGTGTGGGGAGGTATGCAGCAAAAACAGCTGGCATACAGTGGTGAGGTCTGTGGCTTCTATTCTCCCAGGCATGGTGCTTGGATCCTCAGCACTGTTCCCACAAGAAGAACCCAGGGTTAGGCCAGCCTTGGTTACGATGGTCTCCCTGTAGTCACCAGTACTGGCCTCAGAAAGACCTTTCACAAGTATAGATCTGGCCAGGCCAGGCCACTCTCTGCCTCAGCTGCTCCAAGAGTCTCAAGCCTAAATTCTCTGTCCTGTGTTTGAGGCCTTCAACAATCCTGGCCTTACCTCCTGCCCCTGCTCACAGAACTGGGTAACCCACAGCTGCTTGCCAAACAGGCTGGCCTCCTTCAATGCTGGAAATGCCTGCCTCACATCCCTCACCTCCTGAATAATCACCCTGTCCTCTCTGAAGGGAACAACTCTATGTATGT